GGAGCGGACCATCTAGACACGCTGACCAGCATGGCTAATCTTGCTTGGACATGGAAAAGCTTAGAGAGAAGTGCTGAAGCTATAGGCTTGCTGCAGGAGTGCGTTCATCTACGCTGTCAGACTCTTCGAGCAGGGCATCCTGATCTAGTATCTTCTCAGGAAACCTTAGCTGAATGGGAAGCAGAGCAAGCAGGTAGAACTCTTGCGATAAGTTAATAATTCTGCTTTATACTATACGCACTCATTACCTTCTTAAGGCTGCGCTTACTATGGAATATATTAGAAATGTACTTGACAGCAGTCGAGGAAGTTGCAAGATTAGCACGAGTCATGTTGATACTTGCAAAGCTAAGACCTTAATACTGACGCAACGGTCATTCGCTCGGCAGACAAAGAATATCCTTGCGCGACAAGGATCTGATAAAATCTCGGAACGTGCCAAAGGTGAGACCGGTTTTGCAAGGTACTGTACCACCTTCCTCCGACGCCAGGAAGTCGATCATCAGCCTTATGGCGCGATCTCATGTAGCGCCGCCCCGGCGGAAGCGAACCACCAGTTCGGGCTCATGTGCAATGATACGTATGCCTTAGCATTTGTGGCTGTGCAGATTAATCCGTCAGTTTTCGGATGATAAGGCGTGGCCCCGGTGCGTGTGTGATTTACATTACTTAGACAGCATATGCTAAGCCTTGTAGGTCGAGTGTCAAGTCGTCTGCTAAGAGCTGTTGAGGGCCTCTCCAGCCGGATAAATCCGGACTACATTCCTGTAATATAGATTAGCCTTTAATTGCACTGAGGGCTTTGATAGATAGTGGAAGGGTATTTTAGCTGCACCGATAGGCATGAATGATAGACGCAAACATTGTTATATGGCTTTGGAACAGGCGAAGTTGTACAGGTGTGTGACGAAAAGATCGACAGCATAGTGATAATTCATGTAATTTTCTATATTTCTACTGGCTGTAGAAGTAGACATACTTGATCGACACCTTGAAACTTAAATCACCCTAATTCCACTAAATTGGAGGATCCAGTCTGACTATTTGTAGAATCCTTTTCGGCACGCCGGGTTTTTCGTTACGCAGGGACAGACGTTAACAGCACTATCAGCCCTACGTAAATGCTTCTCGGATATTAGTTTCCCCAGGGAAATGCAAATGTAGAACGCGTTATACCAATTACAGTCTTATAGCTTCGTAGAGAAAAGATTCCGAAGGGCCAATTGCTATATACGTCCCGCTACACCCACTGTCCCGTTACGACACGATGAACATTAATAGCTTGTTCATTTCTTCCACCTAGCTACAGTGACTTAGACATTCTCTCGGCTATCTGCATTTCCTTCGCGATTACCATTGCCATTCTCTTTCTTCTGAGCCTCTTTTCTACTCTTCCTGCTGGACCAGTAACACCGCGCCAACACCCATAGTACTACAAGGACAAGGAAGCCGGCACAGATCGAGACAGTAATAATCCACGCGAGCTGTCCGGTTGTTAGACCTGATGATGCGAGTCCGCCACCGCTTCCGCCACCGCTTCCACCACCACGTCCACCACCACTTCCACCACCGCTTCCACCACCGCTTCCACCACCGCGCCCGCCACCGCCCTTTCGGGGGGTGAGGATGGAGAGTTTGTTGATGATATTGATAGGGGCCATTTCTGTTGGTGGGGTGTTAGGTTCAGTTGTTGTAGAAGCGTTCCTTTGGCTCTGCTCCTTCCAGCGAAGCGAGTATGAAGACGTCAGTAGCAGTGAAGAGGCCGAGATCGCTTAAATACAGGAACATGAAGAAAGAAGATGCGTGTTGGTGCTTTTTCCTTGTGAAAGATTCTTCGCGTTTCGTAAGTACACAGTGTCGATTCGGTTCGATATGTAGAATGTTATAATGATGTTGCAGAATAGCCGAACAAGAAGTCAAATAAAGCAAAATGTTGAGTCGGAGCATAGACAGCGAACATTGAACCAACCAAACAAAGCGAGCTGTCTTTGATTTAAACTGCCTACAAAACATTCATTCATCAAGACAAACAAGAGGATTCGTCATTGGGTATCTGCTTTTGAGTCAGTTATAGCCTTGACACCTTCATGGAAACTGAACAAGTGTTCCTATGTTGTGAACCGATTTCTTCGGATATTCCACGCATTGAACAAAATGAAAACTGTAAGACATTGCTCCAGCCAGAACCATGACCGTCATGGGATCATTCACCGCCCATCCTGTGATGAAGTTTCCTTCTTCACGAGAGGAGGGTGGTGAGACCGCTTTCTATAGGGTATAGTCTCTGCACAGTAAATAGACATTTAGTGATTGGGAAAAGGATGATGCGCGCAGCCACGATCCCAGACACGGTAAGTCATAACACAATTAGTCATTTGATTGATTGGTCGATATATGATTCGAATTAGATACACTCTCACGCGGCGATGAAAAGATGACTGTTTGAAGAGCTGTGTGCGCGACAGACAAAACACTGGACATGAGTGGACATACATATATTAGTCAGTGGACTGGGTATAACGGGCCGAAGATATGATAATTGAGTGCAGATCAGTGGTAACTATAAAGTAATACAAATATGGATTCAAAGGAAATTCTTAGGAGATGTCTTCCACAAGAGCACCCAGTCCTCGATCATACCCGCGGTCCAAGCGACGATATCCTGGGGAAGTGATATCGCCGATAAATCCACATCGCGGACATCTTCGACAACGGTGATCCAACAGTGGGTCGGCGATATGGCTGTTTTTCCCCTACTCCCCTGGATCCACTCGACGCCTCGGCCGTCTCCGTTGCCTGCGCACCTTCCGAATCCCTCTCCGCATCCACGCGTCGCCTCTCTATAGCTTCTTTCCTACTTTTCCTAGCACTAGGCTTATAACGCTCCCACAGAAATATAGTGAGGAAAACGACAATGATTAAGCCGAAACCTGAGAGTCCGACGATAGCACCGATTGTTAGGCCTCCTGGTCCCTTTTTGCCTCCACACCTAGCTCCACCGCCCCTACCTCCGCCGCCGCTGGCACCCTTCCGAGGGGCGAGGATGGAGAGTGTGTTAACGATATTGATAGGGGCCATACTTGTTGGCAGGGTGTCAGGTTTGGTGGTTAGATGTGCGTGTTTGGTCGTACACCTTTCTCCTAAAGACTAAGTTTGTTTGAAGACCGGAAAGTGAAAAGTAGGAAAGGCGCTTAGAAGTTCTCTTGTAGCGGAGGACAGGTAGCTTTGTAGTTTGCGAATAGGCCGTATCGCATTGATTCAATCATTATATATGTACATCGTTGCAGATAGCAAGACAAAATATCAAAGAGCAGAGTTGAGAAAGGCACTCGGTAAACAATGCTCCATGCAATAGACAAAGAAATAAGCATTGTCATTGTCTGAAAGCGACCTACCAGTCGTTGATCAAGACAAACAAAAAGTTCGCATTTGGTATTTTGCTTTGAGTCAATCGAAGCCTGAACATCATTTCACATGCACTATGTGTGGTTTTCACGGCGTCAACTAGTTCCATTGAATACTTCTGGCAAGCAAGTCTGTTTAGGGTGCATGCACATCTCTGCGCGTTTACACACACATGAACCATCATGTCTAGCACTGCAAAAGAAAAACAGCCATGCCACGTCATGCCCCCTTCACGGCCCCTTCCGAATACCTTTTCATTCAGGTTAGGGGTTAAAGTTGATGCTTCTCGCAGAGCATAGTTTAGATGACAGGTGAACAATGAGTAGCATGAACAAGACATCATGCACCGCCTCCATTGCGGCTGCAAAAAGCCATGACTCAGGTAGTCAATTAATCAATTGGTCGATACATGAGTGTAACCAGACACACATCTAGTAAAAGCACCTACGAAAGATAAATACATTTCTAATTGTGTGTGTGTGCAATGGAGATGAACTGTTTACAAGGGAAATGTGTGGAAGCACATCATATGATAAGTTTAGGTAGGTAGATAATGCAGATGTCTACTAAAAAGGGAAACCCCAGGCGAGCCTCATCCTTGGCCCTCGTCTATTGTTTGAATGTCATTGGGCAAGAGAAAGGAAAAGTAATGGAGGAGGGGATGAGCTGACACCCCTGATCCTCTCTCTGGTCTTCCTCAGCCTCGTCTACCGCAGTCGGTCGTTCGTTCTGAACCAGGCAGACAACGAACGACCGACGAGCACCTGTCCGGACATAACTGACCCCCCGATCAGGTCTCGCTGGCATGGCTTTTCGCGACAATCGCCGCTCGTCTATTATCGACTCGGTCTTGATCCAATCGCCCACATTTCCAGAGTCATGGAGCGAGCTTTCTGAGTCGCAGGACACTCAGCCTGCCGAGGGGTCGGATGAATATCCCAGTAAGATAGTAGAAGAAGGATACGGAAAAAGTGATAATGATGCCACGGCTATGGGTCAACTTGATGGCCAGCATCTGCACGCTCAAGAAGAGAACATCCAGCAATACGAATGCTCTTATCAGAAACCAAGCAGCGTGAAGGACATGCCTGCAGGTTCAAACAGGGGATCGTGGGCGACTGCATATACCAATTTCTCGACTTTCCGTTCGCAGCGACAAAGCATATCCGATTCGCGGTTCTCAAAGCTATCAGCTGGACTGTCGTGGCGCACAGCTCGGTCAACCATGTCCCAGGACGTCGGGTCGAAGACAGGAAGTTTCTACAGCGCAACATCAAGTGTAGTAGGGTATGAGACCTCAGCCATGACGATGTTCCGTCCCCTCCATTGACATGATAGAAAAACAGGATCGCACCGCCCTCCGAAAAGACCACTTCCGATAGCACATGGATGGAACACATCCGGTCCCTGAAGCTTGTGCTCGCTCCGTCGTTGGAACAAGACTGGTCGGGCCGAGGCCAACATGCTGAATTTGACTCGGAAGAAGAAGTGCCCCTTCAGGTGGAGTCAGTCCTTGGATATGGGACCGCCTTGGTGGAAAGCGTCCGGTGCCGAAGAATACGACTTGCAAGGAAAACGATCAATTGTTCATTCCGCCTGCGGAAAGAAGATGCGGTTAAAGAGGTTGCACATCTCCAACGTCTACACCATACTCATATTATCCAGGTGGTAGGGACTTATATCTGCGGGCGCAAATTGTCGATCCTGCTATATCCTGTGGCAGAGTACACACTGGATATATTCATGCTCAAAGTACGCACCTCTTCGATCGTGGACAAACTGCAACTCGGCGCGCAAAGAAACATTCCAACAGAAGCGGAAAGATCGTTTGAAACCTTCTTCTCATGCTTAGGTAGAGCCATGGCTTTCGTACATAAAAACTTGGTCAAGCACATGGACATCAAGCCTACGAACATCTTGGTGAAAAGAAATTCAGAGAAGACACTCATACCCTTCCAAACCTTCAAGATCATCATCGCGGACTTTGGCGTATCTCGTTCCTACTCGTCAATAACGGAGGTCTGCACAGAGTCCCCTACTAGCTTCACTAGAACATACGCAGCACCTGAGGTGATCGAGCAGGCTCCACGCGACTTCTCCGCCGACATGTTCTCACTTGGCTGCGTGTTCGTCGAAATGCTGGCCACTCTGGAACGATGTTTTCCCCGGCGATACATTCTCGGCTGGATGAAGCGACCGTGCAACATCTTCTCCAAGGCCTGGCTCAGAGATTTCCAACAGGAGATGCGTTTAGTCTCAACGGATACTATACCAGGTCAGACCCTGACATCGCACGAAGCCCTAGAGCTACTCCGCATGAGGAATCCACAACAGGACAGGTCGTACCACGCCAACGCGAAAGAGATAATACGATGGCTCTCACGCGGCAACGAGCTGGACGAGGAGAAATTCCTGGTTGAATACGGCATGGACGCGATCCAGATTCGCCAATTCGTTGACCTAGTCTGCGCAATGCTAAGTGACCGGCCTAGTTCAAGGCCGACTTCGTCACAGCTAGAGAACTTTTTCAAGGGCCAGGGCGTCTTTCCGATTTGCGACTGCGGGCCAGGACCAGATGCCTACGAGGTCGCGGCCGGGTGAACATATTGATACTTCAAGATTTAGAGAAGAGAATTTACCGGCTTGCACTGGAGATTGAGAAATTGGTGGACGCTATTTGGCAGCAGCACCCATCAACTCTCACATCACTGAGATGGAATCGTTCCGCCATCTCTTCTGCGTCTAAATTAACTTTGCTGCAGGATGTCTTACGGTTCTAAAGCAGAGTTCCAAGACATTAATGGCTGCCCTTTCCATGGGGATATTGGGCTTTCCATCTCGTGTGTGCCGAGTGCGATATGCTGCGGCCGTGGTCAGGCCAAAAGTATAAAGGTTCGAAATGGTGCACATCTCCACACGCACTTGCGTCTTTCTCATTTCCTCCTAGGGACGGAGGGAGATCCGGGAGGAAGAAGGAATGGAGTTCAGAAAGATAAAGAAAATGAGCGGTAGGAAAAGCAAACGATGAGGACAACACCAACTTGAGACGTGAGTACATCCAGTGAAATTTTCAACGTGTCAAGGTTTCACCCGACTCAGACACAAAAAGCCCAACGAGGAATGCCCTTGTTCGCCTCGGTCGTGGACCAGCGGCTTTTGGTCAAAGACAATGCTAAATCGTTTGCTTTTGTCTCAACGCTCATCATTCAGTCCGCGGCCTACTGTCCCACTCCGCTTTGCCTTTCAATTTCTATGATTGTTTGTCTGTCCTCGTGTTGAGAAATGATATACATATATATGTCGATCGATATCGGCACGAGACGACCCTTCCACAAAGTCAGCCACAAAGTCGACCACAAAGTCACTTACCAGACGCGTCTTCCCCAAGAGCATCTATTCAGTCTTCAAGTCCACTCTATCACCCCTCTTTACACTCAAAAAGATCTTCAAACCCCATCCACGCCTCAGACCCAATCCTTAAAGGGAAACCCCACTCTTTTCCAGCATTACAAAGGAAAGAAGACATATATAGACCATGGCCGTCAATGAAGCAGTGACATGTCGCTACCTACAGCGATCTCCGCTCCGGGTTGTATCGACTTACTCATTTTTTGGACTAAATACCTTTGCATCTTCCCCACGTCACCAGCCATAGCTAGCCTTTTCCCATCACTCCTTCCTTTCCATGGCATTCGCATGTAGCATACTACTCGTACATAACTCAAACCTAATCACTCAACCTATAATACTAAATCTTTGTCAATACTACACCGGCCATGCCCACCTCCCATACCCATCTTCCATATGCGAACTCTGGAACCACTTGAGAACTTGAGGCAGGTTCGCAGTTTTACCACGGAGCCCACAGATGTATGCACATACGTACCCTGCCTATGCAGCTGTTCCAAAACACAATGGATTGATAAAACAGCTCCCGCCGTGGAAGGAAAATGATCGCGTGAGCCCCAGTACAGCAGCAGTCATCGCGGCAAAGTATTAGTAAATCGAAGTAAGGTGTCAAAGTGCTTATGCGCTGGTGAAAGTAAACAGTCTCTGAACATGGGCCCCGCGTTCAATATCCATGCAATTCTAAACATCTTGAAAGACGTCTCAGGTGAATGCCTGGCCCGGCAACTTTCCGATTTGGCACCCAGGTCTCTCCAGTGTCACCCTATACAGCCCTACAGACGATGAGCAGGGCAGTCGATTGTTCTACAGTGAACGAAAGGTAAGAAGCATATTCATTCAAGCCCAAAGCAACCCATTTCCAAGACCCAAGCTCTCACACCTGTTGCGTCAGTGTCTTGAAACGCAAGGTACAACGACTGAAGAGAGTGTTGAACCTAGCAGTATACACACTCATCCAGCATACGTAAGTTTTCGATAAACTTGAACTCCTAATCCTCTTAACTTATAAACAGAAACAAACACCCCAGCAAGGAGCGCTTCACTAGCTTTTTTCGGCTCGATATCCCTCTTTATCGCCTTTGTCTTAACGCTTATTATCCAGTCCATAGGCCTCCTATGAACTTTACATCAAGTAATCCTTTATCTACATTGTCTATCCAACCATTCATTGTTCGGCAATACCATTCGTACTTCTCTAAGCAGGTAGTAGGTAGGTATATATATCAACAGACCCCACAACCCCAACCACCAAACTCACTCAATCCCTTCTCTCTATCTCTCTCTCAAACAAGCACTCCAATCTCATTTCATATCTCCTTTCCGCCCTTCTAGTCAAAGGTCATGGCCCCAACCCCAACACCCCACCACCTCGCCGCCCAAAGCAAGCGCTGCAGCCAGTCTTCCTGCAAGGAGGCCGAAACGCAAGATTCCACCCTCTACGTGTTTGTAGTTTTGGTATACGTAATTCTTTTGCTCGGGGGGGTAGCTAGAGTCATAATAATCGAGTTGAAAGGCCCGGTGATGGACTTCACGTCTGGGGTGCTTAGGGAGAGGAGGGAGGCTAGGGAGAGGGTGGAGGCTAGGAAGAGGATGGAGCAGAGGGAGGAGGACTTGTTGTGGGAGGGGGAGTTTTGGGAGGGAGAGAGGGAGGAGGACGAGGACGAAGACGAGGAGAAGAAGGAGGAGGAGGAGGCGTAGGAGGATAGATAAAGATAATAGGGATGTTTGTGTGTGCACTATGTGCACTGTATACTCGTTGCAGCGAGTAGTAGCTGGTAACTACATAGCAATCCAATTCTCTCATCCATACCTCAAAATCGCTTCTTTCAACACAAACAGAGCTTAAGCCAGATTAGAATTCAGTTCGTATCTACTAAACCCCAGACTCTAAGTTTTCCTATAAGGTTCTTACTTATAGTCATTATTATATACCTAGGTACTTCATGTCAATATGTCCTTTGTCGCTCGCGACGACAGTAGGTTAGCCCTGCGATGTACATCCGTCAATCATCTATATGTAACTAGGTACACAACAGCAGCCCGACACCCTAGACACGGATGGATAAGGGCAAGCCAGAGGAGCGCAGGACCACCAACACCTCCCTCCGTTCGAAGAAAATATACATATCAACAAGTGTAATCACACAATCCGTCGTCACCAAGTCCGAAGCAGCAGAATAAGACGCCGCCCCGCCATACCAGCACACATTAAATCGCATAAAAACGACGACAACTTCGCTCCAAAACCCCCCAAGGAATGAATCACCGCGGAGGCGCGAAATCATGCGGTCGGTCGGTCAGTCGGGCGGTCGGTCGATGAATTCTCATTTGCAATCGACCAACATGCGTGGCGTCCCAACTACTTCCTCTTCTCCCTCACATTACTCCCAAAGACATTGACCTGCGCCCTGCTCCCCCGCTCCACAGGCCTCAGATCCACCTCCTTCTTCTTCTCCTTGCTGGCCTCGCGCCTCGCCTTCCACCGCTCGCGCCACGACATGGCCTCCCGCCGCGCATCTTCCTCGCGGTGCTCGGCCGTCACGGGCGCGCAGACGGCGGCGATTCTCGCGGCGGTGGCCGCGTCGCGAGCTGTGTTTGTGGGCGGTGGTGGGGGGGATGCTGTCTTGGTGGCCCAGAAGGGTGGGGGCAGGTTGGCGATGTAGGAGTCGTATGATTCTTTGGCGGGTGCGGGTTGTTGTTGTTGTGGTTGTGATGATGGGGTTGGTTGGGGTGCTGTGGTGGGAGCTTCTTTTGGGGTTGCGGCATCGTCGGAGCGTCCAGCGACTGGGCCAGTCGCGTGTTGGGTATTGGTGTTCTCAGTGGGGGGCATTGTGGGCGGTTTCCACGCGAAGGTTAAGTGTGGAGAGGGAGGTTTATTGAATGAGTGAGTGTATTAGGTACCTAAGGTATTTATGAATTATCTCAGAGAGAACTTGGTGTAACATGCAATGTCAGCACTTCTCTTGATGACTTTGGTAATCATACGAGATAGGAAGCCTGATGCACAGCCATTGGTTGCCTGACTGCATCACTTCCGCCAAGTTTGTTAACATTAGGTATTGTACTTTGAGCTACCAACCACGGTTGGGTTGAAATTGGTTGATTGATCGATTTGTATCAATGCTACTATCGTACAGGTACGTAGTTGCCCGTCATCTTATGCTATGGGTAGGACTTGGACAACCTGGGAATGGAGAAGAGGCGTGAAAGCAGCATGCAAAGCTACCTGACATTATATACTCTGGCAATGTTGTCACATTCGATTCAGCAAATTGGTATGTGTCTTGACATTTTAATTCATTTTTGATTTCTTGTTTTTGATTAACCTCATCGTCAATCAATCATACTGAAATGCCCTCTTTGATAACAAGAGGTTCGTCTACAAACTTTACGACTTCCACCCATCGTCAACGCCTCTGGCTCATGCAGACTGTACGTACGTCCCCGACGTAGAATTCAAAACGCCATTTCATACTGATTGTCATCATACTCGTACTTTTTCTTTTAACCCAAAAGAACTCTTCATTACCCCCCTGTCAAAGATGCAACGGACGCGGAAAGCCAATCTAAAACTGCCTCATGTCGACGACGCAGCGGATGCAGTCGCCGGCCTTCATGTCGCCGAAAGCGGTGTTGATCTTGGAGAGCGGCTGGCGATGGGTGATGAACTCATCGACCTTGAGCTGGCCGCCGAGGTAGTCGTCAACGAGACCCGGGAGCTGGGAGCGACCCTTGACGCCGCCGAACGCGCAGCCCTTCCACACGCGGCCCGTGACGAGCTGGAATGGACGAGTGGAGATCTCCTGGCCGGCGGCAGCGACGCCGATGACGATGGACTCGCCCCAGCCCTTGTGGCAGGCCTCGAGGGCGGACCGCATGACGTGCACGTTGCCCGTGCAGTCGAACGTGTAGTCGCAGCCGCCGTCGGTCATCTCGATGAGCTTCTCCTGGATGCTCTGGCCGCCGAGCTTGGTGGGGTTCACGAAGTGGGTGCCGCCGAACTTCTTGGCCCATTCCTCCTTGCTGTCGTTGACATCGACGACGATGATCATGCCGGCGCCGTTCTTGACGGCTCCCTGGATGACGGATAGACCGACGCAGCCGGCGCCGAAGACAGCGACGTTGGCGCCCTTCTCGATACCGCCCTTGCCTGCGGTGATGACGGCCGCGCCGTAGCCGGTGGTGATGCCGCAGCCGAGCAGGCAGGTTCGGTCCATGGGGGCTTTCTCGGTGATGGCGACGACGGAGATGTCGGCAACGACGGTGTACTGGGAGAAGGTGGAGGTTCCCATGAAGTGGAGGAGGTCCTGGCCCTTGCACCTGAAGCGCGAGGTGCCATCGGGCATGACACCCTTTCCTTGGGTTGCGCGGATCTTGCCGCAGAGGTTGGTCTTGCCGGACTTGCAGAACTTGCACTCCTTGCACTCGGGGGTGCTGTTGACTGTTAGTGCTGATGTCTAGGGGTTTTTGAAGTTTGGAACGTACTAGAGAGCAACGACGTGGTCACCGGGCTTGACGTTGGTGACGCCCTCGCCGACGGACTCTACGATACCAGCACCCTCGTGACCGAGGACGATGGGGAAAGCACCCTCGGGGTCCTTTCCGGAGAGGGTGTATGCATCTGGGGATAGATGTCAGTTCCAATTGTCCTCCAAAGGAATTTCTATTCTTATGAGTGGTAGAGTATAGACGTACCGGTATGGCAGACACCGGTGTAGTAGATCTGGATGCGGACCTCATGGGCCCTAGGGGGAAGGACCTCGATGTCCTCGAGGGAGAGGTCCTTTCCGGCCTCCCAGGCGACGGCGGCCTAATTGATTGTAAATCAGCAATTGTTTCTTCTCGTAGTTTCCATATTTCTTTCCGATCTGCTTTCACATGTTCTCACGATGTGTAGCCTTGTGGATTGATTGTATGACGTTGCGGAGCCGCAGAGCGCCAAGCGGGGGGAGGTCGGAAATGGTTCGGAATCGGAATGGAGAGAGGAGAGGGAGGAGAGGGAGGAGAGGAGGGGCAGACGGAGGAGGGCGGGGCTGGCGGGGCATGACGAGGTCGCTGCGGGTGAGCTTCCGGGAGTGACGCCGAAAGACACAGACACACAACGCGGTACAACAGCTGGTTGCGGCGAGGGGAAGTATTATGTCTAGAGGAAGAAGAATGAAGAATTGATCTTCAATTCAGTCTGTAGCTCCAAAGGCAATCTTCTCGACGCCATGTCAAGCTGTGTATCGTGTCGTGTTGTGCTGTACGGTGCGGTAGAGCCTGAGCTCTCCTACCCCTCGGAGGTCTCATTGAGCGAACAAGGAAAGAAGCTCCGTCGCAACTGCCGGCCACATCCTCATCCCTCCTCACTCAACTCACTGCCCGTCCCTCTCTCCTCTCTTCTCATCGCTTCAATCTCTCGGTGTAATTGTGTATTGTGTATGGTTGCAATCGCATTGCAGTGCAGTCCTCGAATGGAACGGAATAGAAAGTATGGCATTACCAACGTACCTTGCAAGTGATGGTCTGTAGTCAAATACAATAGTTAGCGATCAATTCAAATCAATTCTTCGTTGTTTTCATCGTGTATCTTTCCATTACTTCACCATTCCGTAGATTGGCGAAAAGTAAGAAAAGAGGGAGGGGTGGATGGTGAGGGTGAGGATGAGGATGAGGATGATGACGTACCTTTCCAACAGTATCAGCAGACATTGTAGCTGTGTTCGAAGGAATCGATGTGGAAGTCGAAGTGGAAGAAGTGAGGGAAAGAGTCGGGGGAGTGACGGTGTTAAGAAGGTTTCTTAACCTGTCGAGGGTGGTAAAGGAGGAAGTGGTAGAGGAAGACGTGGTGAATGTAGGTTGGAGAAGGAAAAAAGAAGAGACGGAGGATGGCACTCGTCTCTCTTTTTAACCTTTTCGGGTGTAAAGTAGGTAAGTAGTGGTCGTCGGGTTGTTGGGGGGATTGGTTGGTTGCGGGCGAAGTCGGTAAGGTGGGGGAGGGGGAGAGGCAGGAGAGCTACAGCTACAGAGCTATTACAGCTATCCAGATAGAATGTAGTAGATAGGTAGAGAACAGATACTCGGTAGTAAGGTGGTAATTGGTGTTGATTGATTGATGATGGCGGAGTTGGTGATTAGTGGAGCTAGACAACGGAGATTTTATCTATGAACGTCAAAGTGTACGATGATGCTCGTGGTAATGGATGGATGGATCGACTTCCCCTTCTCTTACTATTTATTCAATCTGTTACTTAGGTATCTACTCTACCGTCGTTATTCTTGTCATCTACGGAAGCGGATCCCTTCCCATCCACCACCAATTCAACCCCTCTTCTCCGTCGCATAAGATACCTCATGGATAGATAACTTACACATAGCATAGCACATCATAGCTAGCATAGCCGTAGTATCTCGCAGGTGGGGAACTCATCGGGAAGGTATGCGACAAACAGGCAATCCATTGCTGTCCCTCTACTAGTTACTGATCCAATGCCGTGACTGAGCGCGTGCGGTTCAGCCATGCAAGTTTTCCCACTTTGCGGCTCCGTCTCCGTCTCCGTTGGGTGCAGCGTCACGCCTTCTAACGCCTTCGCCTTCTACCCAGTATTCTAGGCATAACACTATTAGCCAATGATAGACTTCTCCAGGAGATATCGAGTGCAAAATATACCATACCTCGTAGTATGCAATTGTTTACTTGATCTTCTCATTATGCCCCCCGTAGTCGTACATAATGATACAAGTACCATTGATCTGTCTGTCCATCAATTCCAATCCCCTCTCAAGAAATCCCTACCGAGCGAAAATGAATTAACAAGAAACGGGAGAAACCTTCCTATTTCCATCCACACAGAATGAATGAATAATACTGCCATCGTTACTGCCCAAGACCTTCCAGAAGTCTCCTTTGCTCGGCGTGTGAGGGAGGGGAGGGGGCAAAGGCCGGACATATTTCGCGACCGCCTCGGATCCTCGACCCTCGACTCCCCTCTACCTATGACTGCCACAGCGCAGTACACATACACACCACGCAAAACAATTGTACATCGTTCACAAGATAAGTACAAGTAATGCCCGAATTATCGCAAGGAGAAACGCACAAGACTCGCACCAATCTCGGCATACCTCCCGAGAAACCCAAAGTTGGTGGGTTGCGGAGGTCGATGTGCGAGTGTTGCGGATTCGATTGCCATTTCGGGGGGGGTGTGTCCCCTCCGCTCTTCTCTTACTACTACGAGGTACGCTCCACACTCCGAGTATCTATCGCGCAATGATTCGTCGATCAATCAAAGGTATCCTTTCCTTCTGTATTTCTGATGACTTTTATACCTGATTAACTTGACTGGGTTTCATACTTTTACATCAATTGGTTGATGAACCAATGATGTGGATTGGGTTACTGTCTCTTTACATACAACACCATTGGATCGACAGAGCCGCCCGGGATGGTTCCGATATTGAACAAAGCTACCTGTGGCTTTGATACCTTTCCTACGTCTTGTGTCTACACATATCTATCAATGTCTAGATATATTCCTTAGGACTACAACATTATTGGGCGATTATTTATCGTCACATGCCAGTACATACTAGGTATGAGGTACGAAAGTATATACCTATATATCACTGTATGTAGAGCACCCTGGACGGTCTTCATCGTATATGTAACTATATATATATATATATATATACATATACCCCCGTCCTATCTTTCGATACTCGAATGAATCCACTTCCCTCCCCTCTCTCTTCCTTTCACTTTCCCCCCGTACCAATACCTCTGAAGAGGCTTATGGCGGATGGTAAGAAGTGCTGGCTGGTGTTGAACATCATTCCCTTCGTCGGTACTGTCTAACAGTCTGTGAATCGTATATCTAGGGTATCGTGGACATTCCACTCCTACATCAAGGATGGCCACGGAAAGGTACGAGAAGGTAAAATATGGTATGGTATGGTAAGGTATATGCATTGCTTGCTCGCCTGCTTGCTCGCTAACTAACAGAGAAAACCCGTGGTATCATCAAAACTCCAATCGCGAATAGCCTCATCCTCATCCCCTAACATCCTCACCATCTACTGTATGTCTACACCTTCTCCACAACCTCCCCTTCACTCTCCTTGACCGCCGGCTCAACCTTCTTCCCAACCCCCTTATCCTTCTCCCTATCCTTCAACGACGCGCCCCTAACCACCTTCCCCCAACTACTCGCCCTCCCCCTAATCCCCGCTCCCTTCAAACTCCCACTCCTACTCCCCCTTCCACTCCCCCCCTCTACCTTCTCCAGCCCCAACAACTCCCTCACCACCCCAACCTCAACATGATCCCTCGTATTCCTCATCCTATGCACCCACTTCACCTCCCCGCCCTCGAACAGAAACTCCCCGCCAACCTGCTTGAAATCCCCTCCCTGCAGCGCCTTGTTTCCCGTCTTGATCCCCTGCACTATACTCTGCACGCTCGTCACGAGCAGATTCGACGAGATGTACTCGGGCTTGCGGCCCAGGTCGAACGTCCGCGTCATGCCCAGGTGGTCGTACAGCCGGCGCGTCGGGTCCGCGTACACGGGGAACGGGCACGACGTCTCGCGGACGTACATGTCGATTAGCGAGGGCCGGCCGCAGCCGATTATGGTTATGAAGGTGGGGGTCGGGAGGGAGAGGAGGGAGTCGGGGGTTATGGAGGCGGAGAGGCTGCGGAGGTATTCTTGGCAGTTCTGTGGTACGGGTTAGCTGGTTAGCTGGGAGGGGGGTTTTGAGGGGATGGGAGGGGAAAAGAACGTACGCCGCAGAAGAAATGCCGGATGAAGATTATGAGCTGCCGGGGCGCGACGCCGGGGCCTGAGTATAGCTCTTTGAACGGCCGCGACTGCCCTGCGGAGTCGAGGATGACGAGATCGCCGACTTTGTCGAGGGTGGCTTGCGAGGGGAGGTCGTCGTTTACGTCGACGTTGCCCGCGAAGTCGAGCTCGATGTCCTTTTCGAGCGTGGGCGTCGTCTTGCCTTCGCCTTGGGCTGCGCCGTTTGGTGCGGTGTCTGTGGTGGGAGGTTGCGTGGTGGTTTCGCCGTTCGTTGTTGAAGCCGCAGCTGGAGGTTGAGGTTGGGATTGAGCTTCAGGGAGCGCATCTCCCGGTTTCTCGACCGCAGCGACACCTGATGAAGCATCCTTCGCGCTGGTCTCTGCTCCTGAAGTGCCCTCCGCAGACTTGCGCTGTGGTTGTTGCTGTTGCTGCGTTGCCGCCGCTACGTCCGCCATCTTTCCGTTATTCGCCTCTTGTCTCGATTGTCCCGCTTTCGAAAGTCTCTCGCTGTGTTATGCTTGTATTCCCCGTGGTGAAGTAGTCTGGTGACAGATTCGCGTTCGTTCGTTTCGTTCGTTCGGCGTTACAAAATCAACGTTTCGTCGTTCAACAGAACAGTGGTGGGGAGAGAGAGGGATGATAGAGTTTTGTGAGTTCGTCGTTCGTTGTTACAGTCCGTTCCAAGCAAAGCAAGTCTGCATGCAGCCAACTAGCGCGCGCGAAACGCACGGGTTTGGTTTCAAAAGCTGTGGCGGTAACAAAGCCACCTGCGTGAGCGTGCAGGACAAATCTGTAGACTCAAAAGAACTGGTAGCAAGGCGCAGCACGGAAAAGAAGAACGACAAGAAGGAGAGCGAGTGCGCGATGGTTGTCTTGGTTTTTAGCGAAGACGATGATGGTGCGGCTGCATGACTATATCGCCGCCATCGTCATCGGCATCACCAGACGACACGAGACGAGACAAGCTTTGGGACTAGGTTTGTTCGTAGTGTGAGATTTAGCAGGATCAGGGTCTTCGGATTCAGGTACTCGTAACGCCAAATTACTTGTAACAAGTCGCAAGTGCAGCTAAAACAAGCAAATCAGAACGATGATGGGATGGGTGCGCGAGGGGGACGAGAGTGATGTCAGTGGCACCAGCACCGATTCCGCATCCAACCCTCCCGTTGGCCAATCGCCCCCTTTCGGGGCAATTCTCCGTCCTCGTTCCCTTGTGTCTTTTTATATTCATGGTCGATGTTATGATCAGAGGGAAGAAAAAGTAGACACAGCGCATAAGTCTATCATTACCATTATTATTGTTGTAGCTATTACTCGTACCATTCGTTGTAACCATTCAGCATCGTCGAATTCTGCGCCTCAGAAGCGTTTCAAAATGTGGATAAAGTGCAGCATGCATGCAACTTGCAACTACTCGTAGTTAACTGTACGCCGCTAAGACTACTCCTGGCCTGGATTAGCCAGAGGTCAGTCAAAGGTGGGAAATGTCCCGAGCGAGCAAGTCTGCATGTCATCATGTCCCACTCCAGACTTCAGAATATCAACCAACCCTCCTGCATACCCATATGCATCTTCAATCATTAAGACCACAAAAGCTCTGCTGATCCTTCATCCTCCAATCAGTCAGGAAGTGCCCCATAATCAAGAATGGCGAAACAATCAAAGAGCCATTCATTCCGTTGCGCTCCCGTGACGCCGCCATCGTGTCGACCGGCTGAGAGCATCTCCAATTGAAGCAAGTCTTCCAAACGCCTGTCCAAACGCCTTTTCGAGAATCCATTGATAATCGCCCTGCCATGCGTCGTATTGTCCAGGTCTCTCCATATTCACCAATGTTGTGCTGAAACAAAAACATTCCAACGCGTGCGTGATAGCTGCAAGTTCAGGCCGCATTGCTTGCCTTCTCGTTCATCCTCTTGACCACGGCAGCGATCCTGAAGACGTCTGGGTGATCGGATCCCTGGCAATCTACCAGCACCTTCATGGCCTTGTTGGCACACGTCCTGGCCAGTTCGAAGTAGCTCTTTCTCTCGCATGCCAATGCAAGGTCGAGATATCTGCATTCACAAATTAGGAGACGACCAAAGGGAGAAATGCGAATCAACTCAGGCAAAGAACTGTTGCACAAACAAGTTGGGTAGAACCTCGGCAGGAAAACAAATTGCAGAAACCAATGGCTCGGACTTACGCATCAGCCAGTCGGGGGGTTAGATCTCCCTCCTCGTTCAACAGCTTGGTGTACTCGAGAAGCTGCTCGACGAATTCTTCCTTGCGCACTCCCTGCTCTAGGAACGCTCCACGCGTCATCTTGAACTCGTTCTGGAGCTCGGTCAAGCGAAATCGACGGGCCTCGCTCTGGGCAGCAAACGAGTTCGGGTCGCTGTCATCCCCGACGCATGCCTCGCAATCGCAGAAGAATCCGTAATGCTTGAGCTGCCAGGAGCGCACTGCTTTGTTCAGGGTGGAATCGCAGTAAGTCAGGGTAATCTGCTCTCCCTCCTTGATCTTGCGCATCGCGTGGATGGTCTCCTTGCCGATCGCATCGTTCCAGTTGAAGGCAGCATTGGGGTTGCACGAGTGGTTGAAGCGGGCCGCGTGCGGGAAGACGGCTGCGCCCTTGCCCATCTCCATGCAATTGGTCTGGAAGATGCTGACGAGTGAAGGCTCCTTACCGACTCGTGCGGCATGCTGCTCCTGAATTCGGGCTCGCTCCTTTCCAACGACATCGCTATGGATGCGCTGCGGCCAGAGGGTCGGATCCTGACCATGCGCCGAGTGGAGGGTGAAGTAGAGTGCCTGCTGCGCTGGCGTGAGCTTTTCGAATGCTTCCTTGACATTTTCTTGAAGGTACTCGTACTCCTTCACGACGAGGAGAGGGTCGTCGGCGAGGATTCGAGTGCCGTGTGGGATGTCACGAATGGCGAAGCATCCATAGCCCTTGCCTGGGTCGGCGCGGATCTCATAGTACTCATTCTCTGTCTAGTGTCAGTCTTCGCTCTGTCTCAGTCACCTTTTGTCAATCACCTGGCGCTTCTGGGATGTCCGCCTTCAAAATCCTCATCTCCTCGTTACTGAATCCGCTCTTCTTCGAGGTGGCAATTCCCAGTGCAGCCAGTCTATCACCAAGGACGTAGTTCATGTCGGGGACGTCCACCGCCATATCGCCTCCGATAGCAAAGGTCTCGGGTGAGTTTGGCGGTACGACGGGCCAGAGCATTGGCGAGTGGAAGTGATGGAGCTTGATGAAGTCGGGCGCAATCACCTCTCTGAGCGAGCTCATTTCGCCGGGTCCAATGTCAAGGTGAGTGGGCGAGGCTGTTGGTGCAGCTGGTATCATTGGAGACGGGTAGGCGCTGATAGCGGGAGTTACTACGTCGGGACTGTTCACCGGCGTCGCAGGGACTACGGGAGAGGAAGCCTGGCTATCAAACCAAGGCGAATTGGATCCATAAGACCAGGCGCGATTGCGGTTCAGCAAGGCCGCGCCTACGCTACCCTCTGGGAGAACGTTCGCAGTCATGGTAGCGGCGGTGGGGAAGGAGAAGAATTGAGGTGATAAGAGGCGGGACTTTGGTGTAGTGAGTGGGTATGGGTAATTGAGGGTGGCGAAGGACAGAGGAGAGAGGAGCGCGCGTTTGGGGTAGGAGTTACAACTGGGAACGCAAGAGGATAGAAGAACAATCAACAAACTGGATGATGGTTTGCTGATTGCGAGTTTGGCGGGGAGAGGCCGTACTCAGAGTGTTGAAGGTTTGATTGCGGGCGTGAAGGAGAAAGAAGAAGAAGAGGATGGGGAGGAGTTGAAGGTATAGTAGTGGAGGAGGTGGAGGTGGAGGTTGTGGTTGTGGTTGTGGTTGTGGTCGCGATTGTTGGTTCGGGACCCCCAGCGCACGCACTTTCCCACCAGGCAGGACCGTTCACCTTCATCCGCCTTCACCCACATTCACTCCAGAAAAACAAACCTTCCCCAGGAGACGAGAGAGAGAGAGAGAGAGAGAGAGAGAGAGAGCATATGGAAGTCACAGGATCTGTCGAGTTCATTCCATGTTCATTAAGTTAGGTACCTGGTTAGTTGTACAGGGCAGGCATGCCATCATCTGTCATCCACCATCTTACCATCGAATTGTTACCCACAGGGTTAAGTACGAGGTTAAGAATACATCAGTTCGCAACCTTGGCTGACTGTAAGCTGCTCCACGATTCAAACGCATGGCATCCAATCCATATGTGACTGATACAACGCTCGTTACCGAGAACTGTGAATGCCCCAGCTCCAGAAGTGTGACTGCATCAAGACGACTCATACAGTCAGTACACACTGTCCTCACGATGATCCTACAAGACTCATCGCCAACGACCCTACATAGTCCCGCGTATATTAACCTCCAAAAGATTCCATCACTTTGAACTTTCTTCATTTTCTTCACGTATTGATAAACCAGATATTGAGGCATCTTTCAACAAGCCAAATACCTCAGCACCCGCCATTCAAAGCACCATCATCATTCATCAACCAGATTACCTACCCACCAGCAATAGCAACGTGCCCAAAACGAACATCCACTATCTTCGAAATTCAACTCCAACCACCAACATCAAGATGCTATCCACCCCACCATCCTCCTCCCTCATGAAAACGTAAGCCCCCAGTCACCACCCCGTTCCTACCCGCGCACCAAACTAACAAACCACAGACTTACCTCCCTCGTCCTCCTAACACTTCTAATCACCCGCCCCGCCCTCGCAGATTTGGACGGCTCCCACGGAAAGCGCTGCTGGGGCTACACGTCCGCGGTCATCGCGCTGTCCGTGTGTCTGTTCTTCGTGACAGGCTTGTTTATCTATTTGCTAAGGAAGTACCGGAAGATCACGAGGCCGAAGAAGGTGAAGGTGAAAGACGAGGAGAAGGGGAAGGCGGTAGGGCCTGGGCAGGAGTATGTAGATCGTGAGGGGTAGAGAACTGTGTGGCCAGTGAGGAAAGGGAGGGTATATTGGATTTCTGGCGGAGATTCCAAGTGTTTTTTTTTGCGAGGATCTATCTGTTTTTATGGGAGGCTGAATCTTTGTTCTCGTCTTTGGGAGGGCAATGCGAGTTTGGTGCTAAGTGAAGGGTATGCATTAATTCGGAAGTTCATGTTGGTATTTTTTGTTAAGAACGGGATATTTGATCGTATTCCTATATGGAGAGCTTAAGAATGAATTCAAATATTGGAGATTATAGTGTTGATCGAGCGATCTCTTGTATCGAGACTCCGGATTTGGTGATCTGTTGTTTTGCAGTTTGAACGTAAATGTAAAGCACATTGCGTGGAAAATACACAGGCATGTAATCAACAATAAAAGCCACAACATCACAACGACCTTCATTCACCTTCTAAAAACCTGATATACCATTGAAGCAGACTCAAAAACTACGTTAAAAATATTATTTCACACTATAGACATAGAAGGACGCCATAACTCAATAAACCCAATCTCATCGACCCACGATTCCAATCCTTGGCACGCCCATGTCCCCCATTCGATGAAAAACTCCACAATCATGATTCGATATACCAAACCACAGCCATGGCGATCTCATCGAGAAAAACAAAATCACCGATCTCTAACGAAAAAAATAATCACAGAAAACCCCATCAAAGCATAGAACATTTCCAACCAGCCTCGGTTCCCGCATGGCGATTGTCTCAGTACCTACCACACACGCACAGACCGAAACACCTCACGAAACACCCCAAGTCTCACCCCTTTAATAGTTCAACATCCCATGGAAACCTTACCGGCTGGATCGGCACCACGATCCATGCTTTCAACCCTGAAGGTCGAGAAAGCTTAGCTTGACTTCATGTGCCTCAGGCTTGACCTACCATTAGTGCAGGGAGAAGGAAGGTCACAAGGAGGAAGGAGGCAGTGGAAGCAGTGATTAAGCAAAACTCAGGATTCCCATTTCCAAGATTAAGCAAGCAAAGGCGGTGGACTACAAAGGAAAAACCAACTAGCTACTTTCATCCCCCTCCCAATCCTCCCTTCAAGTCGTGATATCCTCGGGGCACAGCCACCAGAGCGAGCGGGAGGATGCTTTTCCTCCCTGTCGTTGTCATTTTTGTGTGTATCATTTTCATTCGTCCCATTTTGACCAATCCCCCAATGTCCTATGCGAGACTCATCCCCCGTAATCGATCACTCAAGGTGAGAGTGTCTCTTAGTTGGAGGGAACGACCCACCGCCGGGCGAAGCTTCCCTCAAGGAGCTCGACCTCCTCCTCCTGGTCATCGTCGGTGACGATGGGGCCGTTGGTGCCGAGCTGCTTGGCGACGCGGCGCTGGAGGGTACCGACCTCTTCTTGCTGGTCGTCGTTGGTGAGGGCGGGGGTGCCGGCGGTGTTGGCGTTACCGGTGGTGGCACCAACGTTGCCGTTGGTGTTCTGGGTGTTTGCGTTGCCAGTGTTGCCGGTCTGGGGGACGGTGTTGGCGTTTCCGGTGTTAGCGTTGGCCTGGCCGTTCAGGTTGCCATTTGCATTGCCAACGTTGCCAGTGGCGGGAGCTTGCTGGACGTTGTTGCCGGTGTTGGCGTTGCCGGTGGCGGGAACTTGGGTGTTTGCGTTGCCAGTGTTAGCATTGCCAGTGTTGGCATTGCCGGTGTTGGCGTTGCCAGTGTTGGCGTTGGCATTGCCGGCATTTGCGTTGCCAGTGTTGGCGTTAGCATTTCCAGCATTGGCATTGGCGGCGGGAGCAGCAGCTGGATGTTATTGTTAATAGATTGATTATGGAAGACATCGAGAGGGAAACGTACCACCAGCCATCTGGACAGGAACACATCCACCGAAGGGACCAGCACGGGCAGGGTTCTGGCAACGGACCATGCAGACATTGGACTGCCCGGCAACGGTACCAGTGCACTGCTGGTTAGCAGGGATGGCAGCAGTGAGAGGCAAATCCTGCATCTGCTGGTCGTTGTTGCGGCCACGAGCGTTACCGTCGATGTTTTGGGTGACCTGGATGGGCGTCCACTGTGTACCAGTACCAGTAGAGTCGATCATGCAAGTGTAAGGACCGGCACCGTCACCGTTGACCTGATGAAGGGTCATGGAGATCTCACCGCCAGGTGTGACCTGAGGAAGAGTGTTGCCGTTCTGTGCCATGACTTGAGCAGTGCCAGACTCGACATCGTTGGCACCTCCACCGAGGGTCTCACCGCACTGGTCGGCATTCTCGTTCCTGAAGCGGGTAGAGTCCTGCTGGAAAGGTTGGCGCCTCGTGCCGTCACGGGGAGTCTGAGGGTCAACTGTATGAATGTATTAGTGTTTGATCAGAGAATGGCACAACTAGAGAAGACTTACCGCCAATGGCAGATCCCTGGCCACCAGCGTCACCAGTAGCACCAATGATGGCAGCGTGGCCAGCCACGAGCTCAGCAGTAGCCAAAAGGCCGAGAGAAATGATGGTGCTCTTGGAGAAGTACATTCTGAACCGGTCAGATATTTTAATAAAAGATGGGGAATAGAAAAGAGAAGGGTATTAAGAAGGAAATGAAGTAGTAGTGATTATTGTAGTTGCTTGGTTGGGAACCTGAGAATGCTGATGGGATGATTCCTATTGAGAAGGACATTCAGGTCATACTTATACGCATCTTGATTGTGATCATGATCTCAAGATCAACATATCGTTATTCCTTAATGGGAAACTGCGGCTGATTTTTGTCAAGATGAGTTTCGGCCAAGATCTATGGTGCAAGTTTTCGAAGCGTAAAGCAGGCAAGGAACGGCTAAGTCATTGAGTTGCCTCGCATCTGGCCTGGTTTTGCTATCCACGAAACGGGGTTGAAGCAAGAATGAAGCATCAAACTTTGCTTCCACATACTGAGAAAGTCTAGGTGAAGGCTCTCCGACATGTATGAGGCTGGAGGGGGTGTGGCACATGGTGCCGACTAGGCCGAAGGTTTCTTGAAAACGACGCAAGGATTTGGTAAAATGTGCATCTGGACCAATGGCGGAGGCATGTTGCGGATACTATTTTTCTAAACATAGTAGTGTTTGCTTGAATCATCATGGGAAACGTGCCGAGGTGTCGAAGTTTGCTGTATCAAATCTCACATCGATGTGGACATGACTTGTTCCGAGCCAAGGTGTGCTTGAGGTTCATTGGACGCAGCGACCTTGGGGAAAGCATCAAATCAATTGTTTCGTAGCTAATTTTGGTCACAACAATCTGGGGAAAATATCCACCAGGAGAGTCTGGGTGCCAATGCCATAGTATGTTTGTTGTGGGATTTTTTGTCCACCTGGAGCCTATTTTGAGTCCTGGGAAGCCGAAGCTGGCCACCAAGTCGCTCATTCTTTTTGCGCAGAATGAAGTCAATTGAGCTGTTAGCCACATCACAGCAGACCTTTTCCTCTATTACTATGTGGAGTTGATGAGCCACAGTAAAAGCTTAACGGGCACGGAAACAGTGATCTCCCTGCAAAGGAGATCCCAAAGCTTTCTCCAAACGGCGACTGGCAACCTTAGTCTAGCCCAGCCGGAACAAAGTAGGCCGGTGAAACTAGGTATTGCTTGCATTACCAACACGATGAAGCAACCGAAAAGGAATAAAGGGTTTGGTCCCAGTTTCGTTTTGCTGTTTTTGGCGATGGGTTTTGTTTAGTGTCGCACGCGGGTTTCACACCCAAAAAGGTTCCGCCGAGGTCGAGCCGGGAACGCCTCTGGTCTCCGGCAAGGCCATGATCCGGTTTGGAAAGAAGGCCATGATCCGATATTTGCCTCTGAAGATGCAGCGTGATGGAAATAGAATGTGATTATGTGAATTGTAGGTCTGGAGGAACTGCTATCGTGAAAGGAGGTTGAAACGTTCCTTCCAGCCTGAACAATCAACGAACATTGAATGTAATCAACGATTACATTGACAACATCATCACACATTGCATCTCATCTCCTCCAACAACTGTTCTTAGAATGTCTCTCGTTCATTCTTTTGCGAACATAGATGTCACGAAGCGGTAGTTCCGTGTCATGTCATGCGACCCTCTACATGTCATGCTCACCAAAATCATGGTCACAGCAGTTTCGAGGTCAGTTTACTCGTAGCAGTTGAAGGTTCAGAATACGACGCATAATTTCTAGCGTTTACATCCTACGAGAAAAATGAAGTGTGTATCCTGGAGCTCAAAATATGACTTGCGCGGACCAAACTTCGCGATCGAGCTTGATCAGCGTGGGAATTAGCTAGGGTGCAGAAAACGCATGGCGGTACGAAGTTGCTATTTGGTAGAGTTTACTGATACGCAGCCATCGCCTTCTAATATCAATAAAATATAGAAACAACAATTAGAACTCAAAAGATTCATAACGTAAACATACTAGTTGGTCAAAAGAAAACGTAACACTGATAGCTCGATACACATTTCGGAGAAGTATGCATTGGACATTTGTTTGATAGCATATCGCAATACTACTCTAAGATGATGGTGACCTTTGGTACGGCTGGCGTGTCTCTTTCCCTTCGTATTTGACATAGACAGATCCTTGTCACTCTGACGCTTCAATCTCAGCTTTCCGATTTCAGTGTCGTTCCCAGCAGTTCCTTTCCATAAGCCCAAACTCTTCACATTCCTTTCTATCATCCAAACCAATTCACACCTCGCCCTTCTTCTTCTTCTTCTTCTTCTTCTTCTTCTTCTTCTTCTCCTAGTCCTCCACCACCGTTCCTAGCGCCGCAGCCACCACCTCCCTCGCCCTCGCCTCCTCCCTATCCCTCTTCCTCCGCCTGAACTCACTGGGACTAAGAGACTCCAGCGTGGCAGACAACACCTCACCTAGCGTGGTAAACAACACCTCAATGATCGCCTCTCCGAACAGAAAGGCAAGGCAGGCGATGACCAACAAAGCGCAACCGCCAGCTATACCTCCTATAGTTTCCTTGTTTAGTCTATCGGAAACTTCTACTTGTTCTTCTCCACAAATCCTGCTGGTGATGTTACAGCGGATTCGAGCGGTGGGGACGACGAGAGTGGTTGCGACCATGGTTGGGGTGGCCATGTTGGGTGGGAGGTGGTGTGTGTTCGGGGTGTGCGTGAAGGTACTAGGAATAGTGAAGCTAGACTTTGGGATCCCTTGATAGGATATTGACTTAGTCCCTAGCCATTGGAAGGAGAACGTAATGGACCTGGAGCGGGTGAAGGTTGTGTTCATTTGATAAATATATATCTATATCTGTCATTATTGACAATTTAAACAATGAGCAAAGTTAAGAGAATCCAATTAGTGCAGAAGGCCACAATCCGAAAACAGGCGTGAGACAAAGTTGAGTGAATTTGCATTGTTCCTTTGACTTGAATGCTGAAAGTTCAGCGTTCGTCGTCGCAGCTACTTGTAACTACCTAGGGTGAAAATGCTGGAATCTACATTATTGCGTACAGACACGTTCATAATGGAGGGCATCGCAGGCATATCCCACAACCAGTGAATAGAGAGAACGAATAGATATTATTCGCCACCGTCGATAGGTGTCAGATAATATTCCGACCTCTTTCGACTGCCCCGGTCTATTCATGTATGCTCTTCCCTATGTGATCTCTGAATAGTCTCAGCCTGCTACGCCGCCATACATTAATAATTCGGTTTCAGGTTCCTAAAGAATTCGTAAGGCAACTGTTAAATTTTCTCTCGCTTGCTTATGCATTTAATGCACAGGATAAAGGCGTCACAAATTTGATATGGTCTGATGCAGATTGACTATTACGCGAGCACTATGCAGGTTAATTTCTTATAACAGAATAATGTAGTACTTGGTATAGGGTAGGATTTCGATAGAATAATGCAGAGAGATTGATTCGAGAAGTCCCGAAGCTGACATCCATTCAGAGCGGAGAATGGCGTTGGTGATTTTATAAGCTAAGGGAAAACGACTGACTATATCTCATTTCTCATCAGCCCAGCCTACACATTCTCCTCATCGTGTTTGCCGACCTCCCCATTCTCTAACAACATTTCACCCTCACCCTCCCTCGTTTCTGCCGCCTCTTTAGCTTTCCTCTTCTCCCTCCTCGCGTTCGGATCATAGTATTTCATCACGCTCCACACCACGAAGCAGCACCCCATGAACAGGATGTATAAACCCAGGAGGATCCCCCAGGCTTTGACGAAGTCTATGACGATGTCAAATGTGGAGGGGGTTTCAAAGTAATCCATTGCGGGCATTTTCCTTCCTTTACTTTATCAAGGAACTTGGTGGCGGAGGTTTTCCGGGATTTCCTTCCTTGCTTGAACGCTTGGTTGGTCTTTGGGTGCAGGACCATAAAAGCAGGGCGTAAGAATTTGGGGAGGGGCTTTAGTTATTAGGCTTTTCCTTCTCGGACGAGGGGAAGGAGGGGCTGGCTTTTGTGGTTTTGGAGTGTCTATGTTGATACCTACACGTCCTTAAGTAATTATGATATTGCTGAACAAGGGACGCGTAGACACGATAGACAAATAGCAATGTTAACACAGTGGGGTTTGATGAGCGAAACGGGCTGAACAACGAGCGTTGAGACAATGTCAAATGAATGGGTATTGTTCTTTGACCTGAGAGCTGCCAGTGGAGTGTTCGTCACTGTGGCCGATGTTTCCGTTAATAGGGCAAGGGGATGAAACGTTGGCATTTGTCGAAGACTGTAATGCTGGGTGGGTGTTCTGCAAGGCCGAAAACTTGACATTGATAGTAGGAAATCTGCGAAAACCGGTGCGAGGTAGAGTTTTGGGACTGAGGATCACAACTATCGACTTGGCTTGGAAACGTTTGGATTCTTTAAGGTCGCTAAGAACTCGGCCTTTTTAGCAGTGGATTTCATGTCGTATGATTGGGAGTAACTGAACCTCAATTTGAAATCTCTCAAGCTGCCATATGAGCGATCAAAGATGTCTGATCCACGGATGCATCATGTGCTTTATTGGGAAAGCCAATCTACAATATGCCCGTTCATGACGCTTCCAGCTCATGTTCACCCTGAGCAACCAAACGATTGGCGATGATGATTTGGCTCACTTTGATTCGCCGGTTTCTAGATGATCGTTTTTTACCATCGCATGTCGAATTAACGTCTTCTGTGTAGGTAGTTATGGCTCATTACATGAAGATGCTACTTAAGACGACATTCATGGTACAAGCAGTTGCCGCAAACTGGGCTTTTATTCGTACGACTTGAAGCTTTTCGAGAGAACGGTACGTAAGGTTCAAGGATGGGGTTCTGGCATATGCCGATAGGTGCGATAGGACTATAAACACTGCGATGCGGAAGATTGTAGCCGAGGGACAGACATTTGGACAGGAGACTTGGTAATGGGAATTGATGCTGGCGGTCTCCACAATAATGGCTATTCTGGGGAAGCTTCCGATATCGCTTTTCCGATGAATAACATCTAAATTCCCTTTCGAATGATATTCAGGATTCCTGCCAACGGCATCAACTTTTTTATGTTATTAGTTTCATACCCAAGTATGCTAGCTAAATACTCATGCATACGGGGAACGATGGGCGGAAGGGTTCGCGACTTCCTCTCTTTGTTCCAGCGTGCTCATTACATGGAATCCGTCACGGCGGCGAAATGCATGCCTCGCTTTCTTATCGCTCATCTGCGCCTGCGCACTCGCCCATCTCCGCACCCTCTCAAGGCACTGTTCCTGACGGAAAACTGGTCAGGTTTAGTGTGGAGGGAGGAGGGTTGACGTGAAGACTGGGAATAGTGAGGTTTCTAGTGCCTTGGCCACTCACGTCATGGACAGCGGATCGGCTACCGGCCGAATGATAAGAACTCCCACGCACAGGTACAGGTACGGGTTTCGGTACAGATACGTTAGCAATTATTAACGGCGGTGACCAAGTGAACGAGGTGGATGCGATTATTGGCGTGTAAGTGTTCCGTTTCTGCAGATATCGACCATGCAGGGCTGCTTTGCGGGGTCAGTTGACAAGGGTGGTTATCGGTTTTCTTCCTCGTGTTTACTTGCTGATATGGCCTTAGGTTAGGTGAGTACCGTATATAAACAGTGTACCTATATGGTGTCAAAGAAATGATTTCTTCTCTGTTCATCCCTACAATTGTATATTGAACGAATTGCTTGTATCAATATGCGGTCGTTTAAGGCTTTGTCCATCTCGCTAATATGGGCACAGCTCGGAGCTTCGCAAAGGATGCCTTTCGATGCGCGCGAGGCGACAGTTGAATCCGTCCATCATGCAGTTTTCTCCGGTCTCTCGTCGTGTCGGGACGTTGTGTCAGCCTTCATTGCTCGGATTGAGGCCTACAACAACTTGACCAATGCCGTCATTACATTGAATCCTAAAGCCCTGGAAGTTGCGGATTCCCTGGACGAAGCGCTTGCTGCTGGAAATGCTACAGGTCCTCTATTCGGCGTGCCGATCCTACTGAAGGATAATTACGATACTATTGACATGCCGACGACTGGAGGAAACCTCGCATTGGCTGGATCTCAGCCAACTGAGGACACGCCGACGGTGGCTGCATTCAAGAAAGCCGGAGCCATCATTCTCGGAAAGGCTAACTTGCATGAGATGGCATTGGAAGGAATCAGCGTTTCGAGCCTCGGTGGCCAAACGATCAATCCATATGATTTTACTCGCACGCCGGGAGGTAGCTCTGGAGGTACCGGTGCCGCAGTTGCTTCATCGTTCTCCGTCTTCGGCACTGGCACGGATACCGTCAACTCTCTACGAAGTCCTGCCTCAGCCAATTCACTGTTTAGCATTCGACCAACCAGGGGCTTGATTACACGTGCTGGTATCATTCCCATCTCGATCACCCACGATGTCATTGGACCTATCGCGCGGTCTATCAAGGACGTTGCGGTCGCGCTCACTGTCATGGCCTCCACTGGTTACGATCCCGCCGATAACTATACTGCGCTTGTTCCTTCGCATATCAAAGACACGGACTACTCTGCGTCTCTCTCATCTGGTACTTTGAAAGGCCTTCGACTAGGCGTTTTGAATGGTTTCTTCAACCGCACTGATGTACCTGAAGTTACCCCTGTCAACGATGTCATGGATTCTCTCATGGACAAATTCTCATCTGCTGGTGCAACTCTCGTCCCTATCAACGAGACAATCTACGACGCGAACAAGATCCTGGCCACCCTCGACGTCCAACGCTTCGAGTACCGCGAACTTGTAGACGAATACCTGCAACGTCCATCCCTCGGAGGATCGCACCCATCCACACTCACAGAGCTCTACTCCAACAAGGCCACAAACTCCTCCTCCGGAGAATTCCTCGTCATACCCTCACAATACGAATACGTAAACACCGCCCTCATCTCCTCCACCTCCAACGCCACCTACGCAGCCCGTCAAGCTGGAATCCGCAACCTCACCCTCGCCCTCCTGAATACCTTCGCCGCAAACAACCTCGACGCCATCATCTACCCGGAGCAAAAGAACCTCGTCGTCAAGATCGGATCGCCCTCGCAGGCCGGCCGCAACGGCATCCTAGCTGCGTTAACGGGAACTCCCGTAGTGACCGTGCCCGCCGGGTTCTCGGCAGCGAGCGACGACGCGCCGATTGGCGTACCGATTGGCATGGAGATCTTGGGGCGTCCGTGGGAGGACGAGAAGTTGTTGAAGATTGGGTATGCGGTTGAGAAGTTGACGCATGTTAGGAAGTCGCCAAAGTGGGCGGTCCAACAGGCGGAGGTGAAGAATTATACAGAGGTGCCGAAGATTACGCCGGACGCGAAGAATGTTAATACTACTGCGTATCCAATGGGAACGTTGTGATTATGATAGACATAGTAGACAATTTATGAATCAATAACTAGAGTATAGACTTCAAGTCAGATGACCATTCACAAGAGCTCCTTTTGCTGGACCCAATTGAGATTCGTGAATTACCAATATCTCCAGCAGGGATACATATGCATCGTCACAGCCACATAAGCAAGGTGATTTAAATCTCCGATTCTTAATCAATTCTATCGTTCAAAACACTCGAACATCGGCTCTCTCCGAGTGTGGCTTTCTAGTTCCAGGTCGGGCACCTAAAAAAGTAAAGTTCTCCAGCGCTAAACGCAATCGGGCCGCCAGCGTATCCAAATACGCCGTATTCCCATTACGACGCTCCTAGTCCAGCGTAAAACACCGCCAAAACGGCAACTAGATGAACTTGAACGAAGCTTTCTCTAGTGTGAATTTTGGGAGTGGCACATGTAGGCCTGTGGCGCACTTACGGTGCTTTATATAAGGATAATGGAGACGCTCAGGAATCTCATTTTTCCTTGCTACATTCCTTTGAAAGAAGCTGCAGATAGAAATCGAGAACATGGGCCGACCAAATAATGAGGACTCGAAGTATACCCCGGCGCAAGGATGGCAGAACCACGAAGATGCAGCGCACGACGACGAAGCACCACCTGTATATGAATTGGAAGCTCCCACAGTAACAATGCCTCCGCCAGGAAATACGGGGGCGACAAGTACATACTCCCTCAATCATTTCCCAATTCGAGCAGCGCCGCTGACCCTCCCTCTCCAGACGACGGCCGCATCCACATCGACATAGATTCACACCTGACGAAATCGCTCATCAAGCTCGTCCCCAAGGCCTCAAAACAACCACACGACCCAAGTCGCCGCTTCACAACATCAGGACGACTAAACGTGCGCCTCAACATCGTAATCCAAGTCGTCGGCAGCAGAGGCGACGTGCAACCCTTCATCGCACTCGGGCAAGAACTCCAGAAACACGGGCACCGCGTGCGTCTCGCAACCCACGATGTCTTCGAATCGTTCGTGCTGGAATCGGGACTCGAATTCTACCCGATTGGCGGCGACCCCAAGGAACTAATGGCCTACATGGTGAAGAACCCAGGCCTCATCCCTAGCATGAAGAGTCTCCGCGAAGGCGACATCCAGAAGAAACGCACGATGATCGGCGAGCTGCTGTCCGGGTGCTGGAAGTCGTGTGTGGAGGGCGATGCGAAGACGGGGAGGCCGTTCGTCGCGGACGCTATCATTGCGAATCCGCCCAGCTTCGCGCATGTGCACTGTGCGCAGGCGCTGGGCGTGCCGCTGCATTTGATGTTCACGATGCCGTGGAGTTGCACGAGGGCGTTTCCACATCCGTTGGCGAATTTTAAGGTTGGGGAGATCGATCCCGCGGTGATCAATTATGTTAGTTATGGGGTTGTAGAGTGGATGACTTGGCAGGGGTATGTTGTGTTATCAAGATTGTGTCGAAATTAGGAAGACTAATAGATGGGTAGTTTGGGCGATCTCATCAATAAGTGGAGGTACACTTTGGATTTGGAGCCGGTACCAAATACTATGGGCCCTGTTCTGGCGGAGGCGCTCAAGGTGCCTTTCACATACTGCTGGTCTCCCGCGTTGGTACCGAAGCCACTCGACTGGGCAGAACATATTGGTAAGTGGGCTCCTATTTTGAAATCAAATTGGCGGACTAACATGTCAAATTAGATGTCTGTGGATTCTTCTTTCGGGATCCACCATCTTACACCCCACCACCCATAATCGACAAGTTCATCCAGGCAGGCCCACCACCGGTGTACATTGGCTTCGGCAGCATTGTGATCGAAGATCCGGCGAAGATGACCTCACTCATTCTCGAGGCAGTAAGGATGTGTGGTGGGGCCAGAGCAATCGTTTCAAGAGGGTGGAGTAATCTAGGCGAAGGCATGCCCGACGAGAACGGAGATATCCTCTTCATAGGCGATTGCCCTCACGAATGGTTATTCCAAAATGTTGCTGCAGTCGTTCATCACGGCGGCGCAGGGACTGCCGCATGTGGGCTGCGAAATGGATGTCCGACTGTCGTGGTCCCCTTCTTCGGAGAGTACAGACACCCCATTTTATTGTTAACTTGTGATGGTACTCAGCTAACAAAATGAGCAGTCAACCATTCTGGGGCGAGATGATAGCAGCCGCCGGCGCAGGCCCTCATCCAATCCCTCACAAATCCCTCACAGCTTCAAACCTCGCGGAAGCAATATCCTACTGTCTGACACCGGAGGCGACATCCGCAGCGCAGAACATCGCATCCCAGATGGCGAGCGAAGACGGCGTTAAAGCAGCCGTGCAATCCTTCCACGCCAATCTGCCTCTCGAAAGACTACAGTGCGACATCCTACCCGATCAGCCAGCATCATGGCTCTACAAACACGCCTCGATCAGACTGTCGAAGCAAGCAGCGCAGATTCTCATAGAAAGTGCGATCATAGACGCAAGAGATATATCACTGTACGTAAGTCACACCCACCTCACTTCGCCAGACACTGACCCCTTCCCCAGGCACGAAACCCACCCCATCTCCATAACCAACCAGCGATGGGACCCAATAACCAGCACGACCTCCGCCGGCGTATCCTGGGTCTCCAACCTCGCGACCTCATCCACCGGCATCATCATCGACCCCATCGCCGAGCTCAACCGGTCCAAGGGCCACGGCTCCGAGAGCTCATCATCCGGCGCGGCGACCGCAGGCCGCATGGCGCTCGCGTCCGCGAAGAACATCGGGAGATTCAACATGCACGTGTTCAAGGGGTCCTGCGTGGACATTCCGTTCGCTGCGGCGGAGGGCTTCCGGGCGGTGCCGAGGCTGTACGGCGAGGAGGTTAAGGATCACGGGGAGGTGAAGGATTGGAGTTCGGGGTTCGGAGTCGCGGGCAAGAATTTCGCGCATGGGATTGTTGATGGGGTGAGCGATTTGTGGAAGAGGCCGTATGAGGATGGGAAGGCGGAGGGGGCAGCGGGTGTTGCGAAGGGGGTGGGGAAGGGGCTGTTGGGGTTTGGGAGTAAAGTTGCGAGTGCGGGGATTGGACTTGTGGCGTATCCGGGTCAGGGGATTTGTAAGAGTATAAGGCATGCGGCGAAGAGTGGGACGAGGAAAAGGATCAAGGTGAAGAGATTGGAGGAAGGACAGTGGTTGGTGGACCAAAAGAGGAACAGTATGGATCCTAGGGTGGTGTTGGAGAGATTTGAGAGATTGAGACAAGAGGGACTGGCGCAAGGGAATAGGAGTATTAAGAGCGGAATTTCAAGTCAAAGTTGATGAGAAACCTTTGATGAGAAACGAACTTTTATTTTCCATTTCACGAATGTATTATATAGGGGATGTAGTTCACAACAACTCCGTCCAAGTCGCCAGTGTAGTGACTGTATTAATGGCCATCATTGTATGTGCTCCTCATCGCGCGCAATGCCAGTATTACAATTTATAACCTGGCCTCTTCAATCAAAACAGTCCGAAAAAGGTCGACACTATGAACTCAGAAACGACGGGACGGATCAAGCACCTGAGGCCGAAAGTCGTCTGCCACTGTCGAGAACCACGGGAGCAGGCTGGTCGGCACTGGGAACCACGACGACCTTCGAATTGCTCTCATCGGCGGACGAAACACTCTGGAGTTGTTTAGCCTCGCGGCGCTTTCTGATGCGGTCGTCGACATAGCGGATAGTGGCAATAGTAAGACCAGCAGCGAGGACGCCGATGGCGACACCAAAACCACGGCGGTAGCGGGGACGATCGTCACGACGGAAGATCTGTGCGCCGTAGATGCCAGCAATGTTTGCTCCCTGTTGTAAGTCAGTATGTGTGTATGAGATGTATGGTTCAGTTCAAGACGTACCATGATCACCATAGCCATGGCGAGAGCTCTTTCTTCAGAGTCGGTGCAAGTAAGGGACATCCAGGTGATGTTGAGCGGATGCGAAAATGTACCAAAAGTCTGCGTCCAGACGACACCAAAGTAGCGAACATTGCGGCTGCTAAGCTCCGTGAAAATTCGGTTGAAGATATATCCAAGGAGATGGCATGTGAAACCAGCAATCACAGTCTCACCACGACGGTTGTAGTGATCCGACACCCAACTGAAGGAATAAGAGACGGGAATCTGGAGGAACAGACCAACGGCAGCCATGGCGTTACTGCGAAGTGCACCGAAGCCGAAGGAAGTCACAATAGATGGTGCATAAGTGTCGAAAGCACGCTGGGGTCCGTTGTTGCACAGGGTAATGAAGAAATGTGCCCACAGACGCCAATTGGTAAAGGCTTTCTTGAAAGCATCGAGGCCGATCTTCTTCTTCTTCTTGCTCTTGGCAGGGTCATCCAAGTGGACACGGGCTCGCAGGATGCGAACTTCACGCTCGGTAAAGATTCTGAACTTCGGGGCGAAAGTAGGATGCGGGTTCTTGAAGGAGTCTGGTAGGAAGAAGCCGAAGACGAAACCACTGGCGATCGTGAAGCCGCCCATGAGGATGAAGAGCCAAAACCAGCCAGGACGGCCTGCCACACCACGCATGTGCAAGATACCATAAGCGAGTAGCTTCGCTGATGCTTGACCAAACTGGTTGCCAAAGTAGAATATCATGACACGCTTTGCGGTTTCCCTTCTGGTGTACCAGGTCGAAAGGGTCCAGAGACCGCCAGGGATAAAGCCCGATTCAGTGATGCCAAGGAGAAAACGTGTTGCGATGAATGATGCGTAATTAGTCTGGAAAGCCTGGAAGGTACTGACGGTACCGAAGAGGAAGAGCTGGAGAGTGAGCCATTTGCCAGGACCGACACGATAAAGGACCATGTTGGAAGGGATTTCGAAGAGCACGATGCCTAGGGAAAGCATTTGTTGACCGACGTTGAACTGATCCTGGTTGATACCAACATCTTCCATGAATTTGTCAGTGATAGCATTGGCAATGTTACCACGGTCGAGCTCTGCGACGGTCAGCGTGGTGAAATGACATTGCACAACTCGGGTTACTGACGAAGGCAGAAGAAGCCAAGGGTAAGAATTGGCATGATGGTTAGATCCAACCTAGATTCTACAATCAGATACATTCATCGAGGTCTGTCTCCCTGTTGGATTCGTACTTCCACTTTGCTCTCCTCTCCTCCTCGACCGTCCAGTCGCGGGTATAGTCGATGGCTTCTTCATCTACCCTGGATGGGTCATGATACTGGCCATCCTCGTTCTTCAGGTCGAGACCCATTGTGGTTGAAAGATACCAAACTTTGGCCAAGAGTGATTTTTCTGCAGATAGAGGAAGTGCTGATTGATGAGGACAATAGTCGTGTCCACTCCTACAGATCTCTCATGGTCGACTGAGACCCCATGCTTATAAGTAATTACATGGCTCGCCAAGTCAGACATTGTGACATTCATGTGCAAAATGGTCTGGATGTCTTGTTCGTCTTGACCTCTTGGTCCTCGCCTGTTGTCGCCTTGGTCCATCGGGTGAAGCCATGGCAAAGGCTGAAAGAACGTCAGAGGTACAAGTTGAATGGATAGATACTGGAGGCTGAGCTCTCCTTTGCTTGGCCAACCTATTGGTGCCGGCCAGATTCACGGCGAGGATGTCTTGGGAACGGCCTGTAAGACTTGTCTGGCGTTGACCAAGACATCAACGCGCGGACCAGAAGACTTGGACAATAAGACGTTGCTTTAAGGTTGCTTGTCCTACTGCGCGTGGAGTAGCTTGACCCGTTTAACGATAGTTGTAGACGCAGCTATATATGGGACGTTGTATCTCTCGTATATTCGCCAGATGTTAAAAACTACGCGACTCTTTTCTGTCCAGGGTGTTTTGGTAGACGTTGGCGAGTTGTGAATGTCTAAGAGTTGCTGTCCATCTAAGATCGTGTTTAGTCTGTGGGTTGACTGGCCGGCGGACTTGGCTGCAGATGACGTGCTCAAAACCACAAAATACGTGCTTGTGAGCTCAATATCAAAAACATTCGAGCCACTGTTTTTGATCGAATCATCACCATCCGATGACAATAATCTCAAGCCAACTCTTGGACAATTCAATAGGAAAAATAAATTCCAGCTGGAGTCGCACGATTTCCTCCATCTCTTGGCAGTCCGTCCTTGGTGAATTCTCGCCCCCGTCTGGAAGTGTTCGGATGTTACTGGCTTTGCGCGAAATGATATTCGTTCGTATATCCCAACGAAATATCTGCTCACGAGATCCTTTGTGTGCCGCAATGATAATGTGCCGCTCTGGATTGTCTTTGATGTGCCTCAGAGATCTCATCTCTCTTTGCTCGATCGATTATGATTGACGTTTCAGTGATTCCTTGGCTTGATGAATGTGTCGGTGGCTTGTAGTATTCCATTTATGCCCAGTATTCCTCATTATTTGGCTTGATTGCGAGGTTGCGATCTCTGATCCCTTTGCGTATGGAAGCGTTATTGTCGGTCGCCCGATAGAGGAAGTGTGCGCGGCCTCGGTGGCTTTGGTAGTTGCTAGGTGCGGCGGTTTTCTGTTTCCAAATGATTAACTACCATTGTTGTTCTCGAACCACTCAGGGTCTAGGACAATCGGGATTGCATAAAAGGAAAGCAATGTGCAAGTAGTGCCCTTCCTTAGCGAGGATTAATCTCCTAGATCGATCTAGGATGGGATGCCTTGATTGCGATCAATGACATGCTGTCGTGTATGTACGCGCCTTCTCGGTTGACTGTGAAAGCCATGCCCATGGACCGAGAGAAAGATCATAAGATCCTTCCCGGTTCCTGCATCTTTGTTCCGACCCAGTGGGCTATATCCGGAGCATCTTGAAGTTGTTCCGCTCCGACTACCAGTCCCAATTGTACGGTTCGTAAAAGGGCCGATTTGCCGTCTGAAGGCAGGAAGTAGCAATCGCCACGACTTGTTGGTATAATCAAAGGTCTGATATCAGTGTGGGCCACACAAAGCCATGTTCATATGGATGATGAACAGGTATGAATCCGGCTGGACGCGTTGGGGTAGACTCCATAGTCGTCGTCAGGTAAGCCATTGGACTCGGGGATCGATCAAAGCTGTACTTGGAGAGTTGTGGCAGTGTATCTTTAAATTCGCGATGAATTTGTTTGAAGAACAGGGAAACAATGGAGACGTCTGGGGAAAGCAGTGGCAACCTTCAAGTGTCGGGTTTGTGTTCTCGTTTATCGGTGATCTAAGTACATGGGTTGGGTCAACGGTTTCTCCATCATATGCCAAGACATATCTCGTATTCTCTGGTGCTAGAAGGTAGTCGCAAACTCGACCTCTGACCTTCAGTGCCTCACCTGTACTTTGATATCAGAAGCACAAATCATTGATGCTGTTGATTCCGTGCAATTGTCACTTTGAACACTGCTCTATACCCTTTCACTCCGCTACAATACGACGTCTTGACTGGCTACGACCGAAGAGGCACAGCCAGTGAAGGGACAATCGAGCCTCCCCTGCGATGGACCATTGGTAGCAAACTCCCCATGATCATATGAAAACATCGTGTTTGTTCAAAATCTTAACACATTCTACTCAAAAGCCATCATTTAGCAGAAACTTCGAACGCATCATTACAACTTCTCCTCCGTGTCGTCCCTAAGTCGCGACCTACGTCACAACACTATGCAACATCTATCGTGCATCGAGTCCAATACTTTCGTTCACGCGTCTTAGGATACAAATGGAAATATGGAAGGGGGAGACAATAAATTTAGAGCTATACTGGCACTGCAGGGTTCCAGTATGGTCATCGCCGTCGTGTCGGGGATCACCTCTACAAGGGCTGCGTCGAATCTCGTAGTCATCGTGATTCCTTGTGTAGAGAGGCCTTGGGGATGCTACCTTGCAACCTCGATACCTCTGTATGCCCTGGGATTTGCAGCACAAATGTTGACTACGTTGGGGTCAGATCAAAGGCCTTCCTCAGAGATGACCGTATCAAGGGGAACCCCTCCACGGTTCAGCTCCATGTAGTCTTTCGTGTATTGTTGTGTGAATGCTTTTTCAGATCCGATTTTCATGTTGCTCGATGCATTTGATGGGGATGGTCTCAGGCTAAGGGCTTCGTGGATTGATCCTCCAACACTTCGTTCGTAAAGCGATCAGGATGTTATGCAGGAAGGTTCTCAGATAACGTACGGCTAAAGAAAATATAAACAGAGGATCTGGCAAATTGGATGGAGCAGAAAGGCATCATTTTATATGGACATATGATTGCTATGGGTGTAAGTTGGGCAGATATAAAGGCATCATCTGCCTTGAATCTCTACAATGAGACATCTAGTGAGATGCGTACTTGTTGCACGCGATACATCTAGAGGGCTGTATAATTTACGATTACCAGGCAACTATGTCCCACAAAGGATGGCCTAGATTCTCGAAAGTCTTTGGCTATTAGTGGCAAAGAAGCAGTACGGGAACAGTCATAAAAATGTATTCACATAATCAACATAATGTGCACTACGAGGCTTTAGAGCATCTATTCAATCGTTTGGGCTATGGTTAGCAGCGTGGATAACCCGTACATCATAGATTCCCATCAAATTCCAATTGAATCGAGCCGAAGAGTGTGACCCAGCCTGAACCCTGTAGAGACGCGGAACGGCCCGCAACAGAGGCTCGATTGCGCTGGTATCGCTCGTTCTTTTTGCCCTGAGCTAAACATGCCCCGCAGCCACCGATTTCCTTGCTTCATGTTTGAATATCTACACCACATCACTACCCGCGAGTGAGAGTTATGGATTAGTAATCTTTGCCTACAAAGGTTGTGCCTCGGGCATGCCTTGCTTTTGATCTTGAGTTACCTAGAGAACGGAACTACCCGCAAATCTTACAAATACTTCCATTTGCTACGGGGTGTGTCATCCGGGAAATGGCTCTTCCCCTCACCGTGTCCATTCTTCCCGGGCGGCTACAATCCTGGGATACGAGCAGACACCAAACATCAAGGACGCAAATGGAAACCTTTGCGCAGAAGCATGTCGTACAGGTTCGGAGAATAGCCCAATATCTTCAATCCATCGTGGGGGGGTTCCCAGATACCGGGCCACATGCATAATGATACCATAAAAGGACAATCGACCTCGATACGACACTTGACACGCAGGTCGGCTCGATCTCGCTTAGTGCGGGACATACAAGCAGCCACAAAGCCGTTGCGACCTCTCAACGGGTACCGTTAAAGGATCGTATAATGCCACCGGGCATTATCAATTATGGCGACTTCCAGTGAGCTGTCGATGGCACCTGGGACCGCATTATTGCCGAGTGATGTACGGAGTACGGAGTAATTCTATCGCATTCTGATCATTTCAATAGGAATTAAACTTTCTGGATTATCGCAAATCTGCCAGATCAGCGGTCTAGGCTTCCAGTCCTGCTGTTTTCAGGTGACGCAACAAGGGAAAACTGGATCTTTCCGGCACTTCGGCCGCTGAATTAGATCCGAATGGATGTTTGCTTTGCTTGCTCTCTGCCCAATATTTCAGGTCGAAGACATCGAATCAGTAACAAGCACTAACATATAGTTTCTGACTCAGGCCATGAATTTTTCGGCACAATTACATACCAGAGTGCTTGTCGCAGTTTTGATAGTACCCTTACTAAAGTAAATATGACATTGCTATCTCCTGTTCCTTCTGTCTGTGTCCCCCAGTCCTTTGCCCAAAGTCGGCGGCCATGCTACCTGATTGCTCTTGTGCCCAGGATCTTTGCCATAACCTGTCGGCACCGGCTCGATCTTTAGCCGAGCTGCTTGATCGCATTGGCTGGTGTTCATATTGCTTGCCCTCGTGATTCGCTATTCTTCATCTGCCGTGTATATGTGCTTGGAGTGCTTTCTTACCCAATGTTCCACAAACCACGACAAAAGATACCTCGATGGTACATAGAGTCCTCCAAGGCAACCATGCATAAGATGGTCAGGGGGATTTCTTGTGCTTTCCCAAGTGAATGACGTCCGCTCCTTGAAAACTATAAAGAGTCGGCTCCGAGGATGCCATGAAGGAAAGGGATTTTGAACACGAATTTTAGCTGTTTTGCGCATCAGAGGGGGAATTTAAAGTTTACGGTAAGTACCATCGATCCTTCAATGTCCTCCGGGGCCATCTCTGATTGGTGTATCGCTCAACCGTTGGCCAGGATAGGTTTAGCCCGGTCACTAGTGGCATTTTTCCCAACTAGCGATAGGTTCATCGATCAGGGCTCCGCCTCCCCTGTGAATCGAGCAAGTAGCAAGTGGGAGAACCGCACGCTGGTTGCTCGCTATAGGCGTCTGCGGAATATCTACCCGGCCCAGTCATTTATCATCCTCATTCTACATCACCGACGCTTTTCGACTCTCCCGTCACCTAACCCCGTCGAGGATGAGCCCTCCTCTACGGCCCATTTTGCCTTGTCCACCGGGTGCGAAAAGTACCTCCGAGGGCTCCACTAGTTCTCAGAAGCGCAAAGTCACCAAGATTGCGTGTAAACCATGTCAGCAACGTAAATACAAGGTATGTACCAGGGTTTGACGTCATAAATAATAATAACCGACCGTGACAGTGCGATGGAACTAGACCAGCTTGCAGAGCTTGCGTTGGGAAGTCGTTACCATGTCATTATGATTATGCAGAAGGACAGGAGCGTCCATCGCTAAAGAGGAAGAATCTGGAGTTGCAACGAGATCTTGGGAGCACACTAGAGCTGCTCCACCATTTGCGACACGGATCTGAAGACGATGCTCGTAATCTTTTCACAAGGATACGAGAAGGAGAAGACCCATCGACAATCGTTGCATCGTTGAATCAGCTGGGTATTGGGACGAACATACCGAATCGATCACCAACACCCCGCGAAGATGTGTCGCCGGAAAGGACTGAAGAGGCAGCTCCGCCGTCTCGGCCAGCGCCCGGTCTAATCGATCAAAAGTCACATCTCATTACGCTCCCGTTGGGACATGGCCCAGCGCCAAAGCTTCCCCCGATCGGACACCCTACGTATGAGAATCATACTGACCCTCCAATGATACCTCCAATCCGGAGCATCATTGGCCCCCACGAACGTATGATGGTTTCCGACACCTCCAAGCCGAAGGTGTTAGCAGAATCAATCCGAGCACAAAGGGAAACTATCAGACAGTCATACTCTACATTCTTGCAATGCTCAGCTACGTCTTTTCACGTGTACTCCCAAGAACAGGTCAATGGTCTGCTCGATGCCTTTCGCCCCGAGTGTACTGACATATCCCTATCAACACTGTGTTCTACGTGTGCCGTTGCAGCAGTTGGAGAAAGGTTCTATCCGGGTCCAGTCTCTCCGTCAGACTATAGTCATTTCTTCAATGCTGCCAAACAATTACTTGATGATTGCATAGACCAAACACCTCTCCAGGCGATCAAAGTTTGTGCTCTTCTGGGAATGTGCAATATCATCACCAAATCTACTGCCGCCCTGGCTTACATAGGTACGACTGTCATCTTGCTGAAGGCTTCATTGGGGAGTTTTCTATTGGCTTCATTGACAATGGAGATTTTACAAGCCGTGTCATACTAATTTTCTCTAGAGCTGGGGCTTGGTTTGGCTCGTAGTCAAGGAATATTCGGCGAGCAGTGTCGACCTGATCTAGACATCGGCACCTGGAACGACAAGCGGAGGGTCTGCCAAATAATGATCTTCTACAGAGGGTGGGTACTTTCTTCGTCGTTCGGCATATAAAACACTAACAGCATTCAGTTGGCTTCGTGTAACATCATCCATAACAACAATCGAAACAGACGATGCAGTTACTTCTCACAATCTTGACAAGTTTGGGGATAGCGATGTCATCAGAAATTCTGGAATCCAGGTAGAAGTATTGGCCATGATCAAAATAATGATGCACATATGTCGCGTGGTACTTAGCACGCGCTTTTCGCTTTCATGGTCAAGGGGCATTCAAAGTCTTTTCCACGACTGGCTTCAGACTTTACCAGATCAAATGCGGCTCGATTTGCGAACGCGATTACTTGATCCCAATGAACGAGTATACATGTTGTCTCTTCACTCTTTCTCGTTTGGAGGTAAGATGTTGATGTACCGATGGGTGTTATCAAGCTTCATCGACCCAGGGCTGGAACATGGCGCGATGACACAAGAAACGCAAGAGGACACGACTAATTGCATCGAGGACGGGATATTGTCTGCTGGAAAGGCTGCCGAAATACTTCATGTATTCTACATGGAAGGCATGGCCGTGAAATACTTCTGGTTTTGCATGCAAGATGTCCCTAGCCTAGGCAATTATCAAAGCTAACAGTGCGCAGGTTTCAAGCGTACCTCTCCTGTTGCATACTCCTTTACGACGATCTACAGAGGATTTTATGCTCTGAACCCCTCGAAAGCCCCTCTAAAAACCTGGAGTGGGTGGAAAAGTCGCTGGAAGTTCTCGCATGGGCGAGCAAGCTTTCCAAGAGGGCTCACCAGTTCCATGATATCTTACACCCTATTTACGAACTTGTCAAAGGATCAGCGGTGTCATATCACATCCGAAGATCTCCTCCTCGGCATTTGCATTATCACTTTGCGATAGTGGAGGGCACCTCGCCGCTTCAGCAGGCTGCGCAGAAGCTTAACCGTTTGCTTTTCATCCCCCTCGTTACCATCTCGAAGCAAACCCATATCCAGAGCAACGTGCCTAGCGACCAAGAGCCACTTCTACCAAGATTTGCAGATGCAGGGCTGGGCATGCACCTCTATTGGGCATTGGAATTCGCCGCACCATGCTTTTCTAGCGATGATTTTGCCCAATCGGACAGTGGCACATCATCCGGGGCATTGTTCTGAAACAAAGTAAATACAATGCAGCCCTCATTCAGCTTTGGCTTCCCCGATGCAACTATTTCTGACCAACGAATCAACCTATATCAATCGCCAGAGGCTGATCTAGTTGGGGCTGAACTTCGCTCCTATTTCGTACTATGCTTTTTCCGCCATTTGCTTAATTGCAGCGCAACATGATTGCTTTAGGCATAGTGGAGCCACTTCCATTTTCATTCTCCTCGGAGACCATGGTGGACTTCAGCTGAGATACGTGATTCCATTATTCATATTGTGTTAGGCTTCTCGGTATCTGTTCTCGGTTTTCAGGATGGATGACGTCTGATTTCTTTCCAGCGTATGCATCAATTGGCCAAGACGCGGGATGATTGGCAGCACATAGGCCCAGGGTAAACGACATACATAATAATACCAATGAGACAGTCGATCTTGATGAACCTAGCGATCAATCGTATTATCTGTATGGCAGGGGAAACATTGCGCATGATTGCTTCAAGTATCTGAGGCTCAGCGACTCCGAAGCTGGTTGTAGGAATCGTTCGCCAATGGCTGATTGGAATGTCCCTTGAACGAAAATCATGCGTCTTCTTGCAGAATTTTTTCCCTCATCGCTCTTGATGATTTCTTTTGGATCATTGGCAACGTCCTCTGAACAACTTCAAATCAGATCTTGCGGGCTTGACCTAACCACAGCACTGGCCAATCAGCTTCATTGGAGAAGCATATCCGGAGTTTAGTAACTTTTCCGACATATCGAAGTATATTTCGCTTCTTAAAAGCATCAATCATTCTCGAAATGGTAAATGAGAAGTGGTTTTAGCTTTTCAGAGCCAAATTAACAAATTTACCTGCGTATAGTTGATGAGGATGCAGTCATGTTGAACTGGTGAAGCACGTTATCAATCAACACTACTGGAACAAGTATCCGAAAGTGGGGCATGTCCTCACATAAAGTCAGTGCATCTAATCATTCACCTCAATGCTTCAATAACACAAGAGGACCGTACTTTACATCAATGGCACCAATAATCACCACCGCGAGACTCGTCTGCAAAGACAAAGAAGCCCGTGAAAAGGTACCTGAACCTCTAGTCCGGAACCTTTTTTCACCCGCTAATAACCGGCCCAGGCTATCGCAGCTTTCCACAAGATCGTGGAGTTTTCGCGTGCCAATGAACCAGGAGTATTGAGATACATCGTCACACTTCCACTTTCAGATGATGCGCAAAAAGAAATCTATATGATTGAAGAGTACGCCTCTGCGGAAGCCAGCGCTTCGCATCTCGCGACCGAGCCGGTGCAAGAGTTGATCAAATTGTTCGGGTCCGGTGAAGTTCTTGCTGCTGCGCCGGAGGTATTCAACAGCAGTGTCAAGCATGCAAAGGTCGGTCCGAAGCCGATCAATGTTTCGGCGAACCTGGCGGTGGTTATTGCGCATTTTGGGTACGAGGCAGGGAAGGTTTCGGATGCGCTTGGGGGATGGAAGTCGTTGGTTGAGTATGTGGTTGCGAGTGAGAGTGGCACGTCTGGCTATGCGGTGGGAGTCGATGAGAATGGGAAGGATTTGACTGTCGTCGCGGTATATGACAGCTGGGATTACTTCGATAATGTCCATCTTAAAAGTAAGGGCACGAAGGAGTCTCGGGCCCAGACCAGAGAGGGTCGAACTGGAGTGCAGGATGTTGTGAGGCTAAGGGTAGTTGATGGCTTCATGGGAAAACAAGCTGGTGGAAGCAAACTGTAATTTTCAGTAGCTATATACAAAGCTTCAAGCTTTATTTAATTGTATTCTCCCTTCTCTTCTGATACTCATAGGAATCTGGGTTCCATCAAGTTCTTCTCTTTACGTGTAGTGAAGGCGGCAAGTAAATAAACATACGCGTAAATAAACAAACCGCAAACGCCAAAGTGAGTGTGAGATTGCGATAACACCAACACGTTATTATAAAAACACTTGATCATCAACAGCGCATGATGTCCTCGCTCTTCTTAGCACGTTTAAATTTCCAGCACAAGTAAATCAAGCCAGTGCAAGGATCCAGCTCATTGGAGTTGGAGAGCTGATGATTCTACAACAGTGATTTCTTTCCAAGAAGGAAGCACAGGATTCACATTCACCCATCAGTTGGACGTTAGCTTGTTCGCTTATTTAAGGACAATCACTTTCCTTGTAACCCTTTAGCTATCCATTGCACCTTTGCCATTTCGACAAGTTGCAACCTCAGTTGTCATTTGATCCACTCTTCGATCAATATCAAGTGCTACGCTCCTACAACATGGCGAGCAACCCCTCAGGTAATTATGAACCCATAATATCTGCCTTAGTCCCTTCAAGCACATTCACAGACACGCAAATCATTGTGGGGGCTATCAAATTAACGTTGCAGCTAAAGGCGATGCCTACCAGAAAACTGGTTCTCCATCGCATGTTGACTCCCCCGAAGCTGGACCATCTAGCACGTCCCCAAAGCCTCCTTCGGATCGTCACACCCCTCCTGGTTCTCCTCCGGCGCAGGAATCCGACGACTCCGACAATCTACTTATCAGGGTGGCTGTTCGCCGAAATAAACGAATCACATTCAGGATGGCGACGTACCACGAGATACGATACGAAGATCTTATTCGTACCTCAAAGTACCTAGTCAACGAGATCCGTTCCAAGGCTAGGGATGGCCGACAGCGACCCGCTTCGATTGTATGGTCCGTCGTCGCTGAAGTTGGGGTCTATTTCGATTGGCTAAGGGAAGGAGAATTGTTCCCAGAACGATCTCCTCCTGCAAAGAAGACGAAAGACTCCGTCGAACTGAGCAATCCACAACATAACTTCTTGACCTTGCTAAGCCTCTACACACTCGGGGATCATCTGCTTGATGATACCTTCAAGCGAGCTGTTGTCACTCGACTGACCAAGGATCTGGATGCGACGGAAAGTGTTGCCGACTTCTTCTTCATTCTGTCGCCAAAAGTCACTGGAGAGATCTGGGAAACCAAGCAGACTCTTGATACTGATTACCAGATCAAACAACTCATCATTGACCTGATTTTCTATCGTGCGGACACCAAAGAACAGCAGGTTTTCCTGACGGGAGACGGTTATCCTGAGGACTTTACAACCGCTCTATATGAAGTCTTCCCCTTCAGCGCGGTTCAATCAGCATTTCGCGTCAAGGAATCGGATCAACAAGCGTTGGCTTCGCCATCTGCAACATCTGAATTGGCCAATGATCAGCCTGCGATTCCTAGTCAGCAGAATGACCCTACACAAGTTCTACAGAATTTCGACCCGTTACCTTCAATGCCTCTCGAATTCGACGAGAACTTTGATTATTCGACTATTGATGACGATTTGCTCCAGGATATAGACCTTGTTACCGTGCCTGTTGCCTTCGATACGTATCTCAATTGGCTGCGTAATAATTCTCAGCCAGCTACCGATCGCCTGCCCGACATCAATCTTGGACCAAATATCAATCTTCAGCCAGGGATCAATCGTCAGATAGCTGTCAGTAGCGGATCGAGTGTCAATCCTGAGCCGGGTATCAATCTTCAGCCAAGCCCTCCGCCGAATGTGAGCCCTCAGTCGGATCCCATGCCTCAGACGGATGTCAACACTCAGACCAATACTAAGCCTCAATCGGATATCAAGTCTCAGCCTGACGCCGCCTCTGAGCTATCTCAACGTTCAGGAGGACCTGTGTTGGGTCCCGAGCTCGATGTCGATGGACTACCAGTATCTAAACGGAAGAGGACTTGAAATTCGATCCACTGTTCAGTCACAGCCATGGGCTAAATTGTTCACTCATCACAATCAGTTGTTCTTTTTAGGAACTGGTGTAGTGTCATCACAGTAGACAAACTCCATTGTATGTATAGGCCTTTAGTACAGCTTTAATAAAATCAATGTAGCTTGTGTCTGTCGTAAATCAAATGTTCCCGTGAAGAGGTGAATGGATGAGGTCGAAATGTTTTATTACCATATGCTCTTTCTAGTAATCAATGCCATATTGTGGTGTAGCAGGATAAGTGAAGCTATTCGAAGGCCATGTGGAGGAGGAAAGGCACTAGGTGGATCATGAATAGATAGACCAGGGCAGCGGAGAGAGAGAGATCCAAGCATCATCTACCTACCTCGATAGGGCTATCACTAGTGGCAAATATCTACCAATCCTACCTATCCCCGAATCCGGATTGTTCCTGTAATGCCTTCTCCAGTAGAGGCGGCTATGCGCAACGATACGATTGTGTGTAGACAAGTCTAAAGCATGGGACGACACAACCACGACTCGCGATCGTTAGATAGGCAAGGCATGTATATATTCGCCATCCTTGATTCACAGTTCCTAGGAAAGTTAATAGACCTTAAGTGTAGCTCGATCACTTTTAATGCGCAGCTCATATCTGTTTCAAAGTGAAAGTCTACATGAAGAAGTGAATTGCTTCACCCGAACCTCTTGCCGTCATAGCAATCATTATACACAATGGTAATTGGGCAAGGTTTCCGCGCTCAGAAGATAGTCTTGAGTGAATTCACTTGGCATCCAATTACAATACAATGATCAGCACGTCTATTCACCCGTCAGCACATCACTGGTTCTAGATTGTGAGCTTTACTACTTAAAGACTATATCTTTTCCAACTCCTGACATATCCGTTCCACAACTTGCCAATTAACAAGAAAAGTTATCGACCATGGATCAACTTGCCACCAGTCCCGTTCCTCGGATGATTAATGTATTTGTCAACTTGGAGTTCAAGGTTGATGGGAACATTCGTTATGGGAGTGCCGGGGTACGTAAGTATCAAGTTGACCTCGGTCAGCTTACGGCAACTTCCGAGTGGTTCGCCGAAGCTGTTTGCAAACGTACTGGCAAGGACTACGTGGGTGTGATCTGGCATCAGGCAGATGACTTCCAGATTTATATGATGTGGATGATGGATCGCGTTCTACGAAGCAGGAGGACAATTCGAGAACACAACGAGAGGCACAATATCTTACCCCCGACTGCTGAAAAACTTCGAAGTCTCCTTGCAGCTCCGGTTGGGCCAGCACGCTTGGTCGTTGATCAGGATCCAGAGCAAGCGAAAAGTCCCGCTATAAGTGATGAGCAAGAGCGCTTCGCAGCACTTATGGACCTTTGGATCCTGGCGTTACATTTCAAAGACAACGTCTTCCGAGGGGTGGTGACCGGAGTGCTCAGGGACGATCTGGAAGATCTTTCGATTGACCCACGACACTTCATCGCAGCAATCTCTCCAGAGCTTGTGGACGAAATTTGGAATTCCAACCAAACGAAAGCCAAACAAAATGGCGTCGTGGGTCAGTACATCGCCAGGAATATTGCGAGGTACGCTGAGCACAAAGTGATGCAAAACTTTCTTAACTCGCCAAAATATCAGAACGCTTTTAAAGTGGCATTACAACATCACTTAAGGTTATCCCTGCCAATCCAAGCTGTCCCAGAGTTCTATCCTATCGTCCCGTGTCATTTCGATACGATTCGGGAGCCAGTCGTGGTCAAGGACAAGCGAAGAAAGCGCATTTTCCCTGGCCACCATGCTTGGCAGGGCATGGTTCACTCGAATTTGGCAAGTATCTACACCACCTGGAATACTAGCGTCACGCTCACAGGAATCGAATGGCAAACCCTTGCTTACTGGACTGTAACAAGGGGTGAGGATCCAGATGTTCAGAAGTGAGCATACCCTTGCGGCATGGTGGATGAAGTGCTAACAGGTTTCCGATATCAATGATAAATTCGAGGAAGATAACATTGAGGACTATTTAGTGTAATCATCTTTTTTGATTTCCAAGTGAGCAGTTCGGGAAATTTCAATACAATTCTTTTCGCTACGCTGTCATCCCATCTATCAAAGTGAACTATGTCGAAGTAATATGTTCTAAGTATTATGAAGTCCTTTTTCCCACTGCCACCAAAATGAGCTATCTATAACAACCGTAGCAACAATAGAGAGCCCGAGAGAAGCTTAACTTATAGATCACCAAATTTGACGAGAAAGTATCAAAAACAGTGGATAATTGACAGGGAAACATCTTCGGCCGACTTTACGAAAGCTCCAATGACGACGACTAAGACGAACAGCGCTTGGACACATCACATGGGATACACTTTTGCACTTTCAGCAATGATTGTGCACTTTAATACGAGCCAAATCTTCTAGCATCTGAGTTAGCATCGGAAGAAGTAATAGTCATTAAGAAAAAGAAGAGTAATCATTTAAAATTGTATTGTCTGTCCGTCTGATTTTGTCCTGGCCCTCAACTTCGCAGTAGAGCATGAGACGCATGAGATGATACATAAAGCGCAATATCTACAAACTCCAATTACTGTTCAATGAACTCACAGCTCTGAGTAACTTTCATCCTTCCTTAAACTTGCAAGCCAAACCAACATGGCTCTAGATTACGCTTCTCAAGTTAAGAATGTGGGAATTTCGGGAGACGCAGCTGTGCTGTTGTCAGTTCGCGACTCCGACAAATCAAAGCCGTACATCCCCCTCGCCGGAGGTGCAACGGATGGTTGGTCCAAGGACGACGAGGCGACAGCCACTTGTTTCTGCGGCGCAGTCCAGCTCGCTTTCGTGAGTGTTTCCATTTGATCAATTTCTTTCCCTCCTCTGCGCACATCGCTACTCAACGGTTTGATTGCCCCGCAATTGGTTGCTTTCGAATTTGCCCGTGAACGTCTAAGAGATATCCAGCTGTATAATTACTGATTACATCCAGCCAACGGTCGCCCCAGGCCTAGTAGACACATTCGTATGTAACTGCACAGATTGCCGCAAACTCACCGCCTCGATGTTCACTTCCGCCTTCATTATAAACAACGAGTACCTCAAGCACATCCGCGGACAATCCAATCTCAAGCAATTTTCACAGAGCTCTTCCATCGCCACCCGCACCCTTATGACGAACTACTTTTGCGACACATGTGGAACACTGATGTATCGTGTTGCCGAAAGGTTCCCTGGACACAGCCTGTTGAGGCTGGGCACGGTCGACGATTTTAATCTCGTAGAGACGAAGTTGAGGCCGAGAACGGAAGCTTTCACGAAAGATCGTGTCAGGTGGTTTCCGGGTGTGCCTGGTGAGGATGTGAGGAGGTTCGAAACGAATCCGGCTTGATAGTCAGAACCAGTTTTACAATGAAAACTATCATAACATAACCGTGGGCGAATTCGTATCAGGTGCACTCCTGATCAAATACGGCGCAGTAGTGATTTGAAAGTGTCTTCAACTTACCTAGTAACTAGTGACGACAATTGCACATGTTAATTATTCGATTACTGATCATACGGGGTTTTGGTCATCGAGCGTTTTAAGCGTGGAACGGACGGCGGGGTTGTTGAGCAGAACACGACATCGTGCAGCATTTATGATTTAATTCCGCCTCAGGGATTGTATCTTCGTGGCAGCAATTGTCCGAAGAATTTCGAAATATTAAGGCATGGTTATGTTAATCAAGACATATGTCTATGCCTTAGAGCAGTTCATCGTGAGTGTGGTCGGTTTGTGAATAGTTTTAGGACAGACAAATGATATACATCATGGACTGTGGCCTACGTTGAGTTCCTGCGTTCTCCCTAATTTGCCTACCCTAGGCAGGTATCTTATAAACAAGACTCCGGTGAAATAAATCGCTGTGCACAGTCTTTTTAAGAATGAACATCTTCAGTAAGATAGTAGTTGAGGTGTAACGTAGGTGGCATACGAGCCGTGGGGATGGACGAGCCGTGGGTCGTGCCAAGCCCCCACCAAAATCGTAACAAGTTTACGACAAAACACGACTTTTATTGTAAATCGCTACAAATTACTACAAATCGTAGTACTACAAATTAATCGCTACAGTCTCCTGCGTCCTTCTTGCACGTGCGTGAGTTGTGGCCAGTCTCTCCACACGTTTTACAGTGCCTTTTGCCTTTAGTGCTCTCATCTGCCTCCTCCCCATCACCACCCTTCTTCCTCTTGTTACTCTTCTCAACCTCTCT